GCAATCATGAATAATTCTTTCTCTACCCTGGGATAGCTGAAAATCGTGAAGCATGTTGAAGAAAAAATAACCTATTGAACTAAATATAAAGATTAGAGCGTTATTATTGAATGGAAAAAATTCGACATTGTTCAACTGTCACGACATCACGCGATAGTTCTCCGTTTGGCGATATCTCGGATCGTCTTCGATGAATAATAATAATACCCCTTGAAGATTTCTGACTACGAAGGGCTGCACTGAGCGACCCCTAGAAATACAGGGACAAAGTGGTAGACGCATACATTCAGAATGATTCGGAAATGGAATAATATTTCACTGATATTAGGAAAAAGTACACTCAGTTCCAAAAGAAGTGAAGCACTTGATATTTGACCTATCTTCTTGAAAAAAAAAAAAAAAAAAAAATAGTAGGCCGATTTTTATTTTTTGGTAGGTTATGCATTTGACTTTAAAAAAAAATAAAGAGGTGAACATTTTTTCAAAGCCTCCTTGATGGCGGTGGAATAACTCGAATCATGATTTATTCTTAATTTTTGACTCACCCTCTGAGTGTTAATTGAGTAGTGTTATACAAAGTGCTTACACCCTATATGAAAGAGGCTTCTTTTGCGAGCATTTTGTTTTTTCATTCATTGATTTACCTCTAGAATTTTCCGAATTACAGTTTTTTGCTGATACCTTACGCTTATCCCACAAATTAAATTTATTGAAGGATCAGAGTACTCAAAATTGATTGGGTTGTACTCTGGTAGGATCACATTGTCTTTAAAAAACAAATCTATCAGGGGATTTTGATAATAATCAATTTTTATTTTTCAATATTTCTTAATTTTCACAATAAATAGTGCAATTTGATGGATGATTCTGAACATACATACTTAATACTACAACAAACAAACTCAAACTCTCATATAAATTTCCCGCAATGTTACGGGTTAATGACACTTTTTTACAAACCTTTTCGAGAAAAGTGTTATTCACCTAGTGAATAAGTGTGAAAATTCGCCATTTTTTTACGCTGATATTTTCTCAACAAATCGAGATCACGTTCAACTCATGAAATAAATCTATCTGAAAATACTAACATTTGAATAACTCAATTAACTTTTGCCTGCTCAAACCAGATTCGTATGATTTATCTTTTTTGAGATGCAATGTTTGTACGAAATAAAAAATAAATATATATACATAGATTAACAATCTTATGATGAAATAATACGTTATAATATTATCTCTCACTTTATATATAAAAAAATCATTTTATTATCATTCAACCTCAAACTATTTATTGTTGATAAAATGACTAATTATTTTGATTCCTTTCGAAATAATTTCTTTTTTTATTTTGGTACCTATTGCGAATTGCGATAATCATGCCAAAGTCAAACATGCTATAAATCAGAATTCGAGAATTTAAACATGTTCAAATATTTTCGTAATCCCATACTGTTTTATTTTGATTAAACGGAATTCAGATGACAATTGAAAAGTTAATGTTTACAGCGTCCGTTGAGATTGTTTGCAATGCTATTGTCTCCGTTCAGAAGAATAATATTGAAATCATTGGAAAAGAAGATAACAACCAGAAGAGAAAAATCAAGGAATCTGCTTGCATTCTTCTGAACGGATTGCTTCCTGTTCAGTTGTTAAAAAAAGAATATGGTATTCACTACTGAAATCTGAAAATGAAATTGGTAAATTCAAGATTGATTAATGAAAACATCCTGTAACTCATTCGATTGCCAACATCACCAATTGTCACTGAGAAATGAAAAGTGTCAAGACAAACACGAATTTACTATTCAAATATCCATTTTTTATGTTGAAAACGGGAGCAGATCGTTACCATCGAATGGTAACGAGCAGATTCGTTCCCGAAACGTCCAAAGCTATAAGTAAAAATACCTTTTTTCTGTGACGGGAAAAAAGTTTGGCATTTCATCTCTGTTGGCAGGTTATAAACTGTCACTTCTCATAAATTACTTTTTCCCGTGGGAAAAAAGTGAGTACTTTTTTCCTGGATATACAGTGTATATATAACTCCGATTAACTTGAAATTTGGCAGGTGTTCATAATTTCGGTGACAATACATTATGGAATTTTTGTTGAATTAAAAAAAATGGCTGCTCCAAGATGGCGGACAAGATTTGGTCCGATTCCATTCAAAATTGGTAAGTGGGGGTTTTTGAGGTCAGAGATCATGATTTTTTTGTTAAAATTCATAAATTAAAGATGGCGGCTTCCAAATAATTATTTGTTTTTGTATAAATGACGATAACTCCATTGTTATCACCACAAAACTATATTACTGCGACATATCATCTGTAAGAGAAAAAGAAGTTATTTGTAACTAAATCATAGTGAGCTATGACCTACATTTGAAAAACAAAAGTTGGTGCTGATATCTCAAATTCTAGAAGAGTTGGTATAAATTTCAATTTTTTTCGAAATCACTTTGGAAAACTGCCATGAGAATGTGGAATTCCTATTTGAATATTTTCATAAATAAAGAAGTTACGGAGGAGACATGAAAATGATCAAAATCTGTTTTTTGCGTATAAAACAAAACCGAATTGATTTTATCAAAATATTTTTTCACATTATAGTTGGCCTTGACAAACTCCACATTTGGTGTCATTTAACCGACCTCGTATCTCTCACCGTCAAAAAGATACCCATGGTGAGCATGGTAAGTGGGACACACTGTATACACTGTTGATGGCTTTTGTTGTGCTATAGTTCCGAAAAATGAGTCAATAATACCGTCTTCGAGAAAGAACTGCAAGTCCTTTTATCTTCCATTCGACTTCGCGGTTACGTATATTACTAAACAACCACTAAATTCGCAATTTTTTGAAATCAAATCACAGAATTAGACTGACAGAAGTGACATCAGATATTTGATTACTTCAAAAGAATGATAAAGATGCCTACAATGCAGGTGTCCCTACTGTTAACAATTTGAAATTTCATGTCGATAAATTTCAGATTTCAAAATAATGTAATATCTTCTCAATATTGATTCTGTCACAGAAAAAATAGTGTATTATACACGGGAAAAATCTACTACTTTTTTTCCTTGTATAATAAATAACTATTATTTCTCTTCTCCAAATTTTTTTCAATACAAATTGTCACTGACACGCTAGTGAATTTTTCTTTCAGGCTCTCTGATAGGAAATTTCTTTAAACGCAGTGACATTTTGGGGCAAATCATCTGATTTTTCCTCACTACACGTATATTGAAATAATATTCATATTTTTATTTTATAGAAACGAGCAGAGAAAAATCCAAAAAATCTGGAATAATGACTCAGTAACAATAATCAGAACTTAGGAAATCATTACCACTTATTTCTACCTCATTGTTTTAGCACTTACCGGAAAAACCTTCAATTACAAAGAACAAACAAAAAGCAGTCAAAAACGAGTATGCCGAGTTGATCAAATTTCTCAAGTAGTCATGCAAAATTGCCTAAATTTTCCTTGAAGGGTGAATCATAGCTCTTGAAGAGTCTTTGACAAGGGCGGACGAATACGAATGAGTCTCTGAAGTTCATCCCTTGCTATTGGTTCTGGATTATTGTTAATAAAAATTTAAAAATTCCATACTTTCTTACAACACTTGTATCTTCTCTTGAAAATGAGATATTGTGACGTGAATCTTGACTTATTGAGTTGAGAATGGACGAAATAGGATCACACTTCAATTCAAAATATGATGAAGCAGAATGTTGGACAATGGTTCTGAATTATTGTTAATAAAAATCGAAAAATCGATACTTTCTTATGAACCCTTGTATCTTCTCTTGAAAAGTGGCTATCAACGTGAGTTAAAAAAAATGTGACAAGAAGGGATCACACATCAAATTTTGTTCTCGCTCGGCTTCGCTAGACGCCAAATTCGCTTGTCAAACAAAGTGTCACTTTTGATCCTAATAAAACAATATACTATTTTGTTTATTACTTAAATACTTCTTGACTTTTGAAAATACTTTATATTTGAGTATTCTCATTCCACTTGAGTATTTCATATTGAAGAATTGAATAGTTTTTTCAGAGTATCTTCTCAGCTTTGGTTGTCATAGCATCATTCAAGCTTTCAAAATTCAAGCGTCTATAAAATTTTCCACGGAATATTCCTCATGAAGTGTACGAAAAAGAAGTATCTACATCAAAATGTCCACAGCATTTGTAACTTCAATCTGTGGAAGAAGTCCATGGTATCTCAAAGTTGAGTAAATAGATGTCATCTTCAAAAAACTAGAAGATTCTAGCAGTCGAAACATGCAGTATTTATCTATAGCAGTATTTATCTTTGAGATGGAAAAATGTAAAAAAAAATAAGTTTGGACGAAGAATACAATATTTTACACAAGGAAACTCTCAAGTTTCTGATGAGAGAGCTTAGAATAAACTTTCTTCCAATTGATTTGGATATAACCCTCGCTCTGTATACCAATACTTGGCAGTTATTGGTAGAAATAAGAAAAAATCAAAGTCCGATAATTTATTCAATACTTGTTTTCAACAACTACAAAACCCAATCAAGCTTTATTTACAATCAATCGCCTGATAATTAAAATATCAATCTTGTTCAGTTCAAACGCATCTAGATAAATTTGTGTACCACTATAAATAACAGATACGATAGTACCTACCAAATTACATAATCTCAAAAATTCGATAATAAAACTAATTAGTTAATATAACATACAACGATTTTTACGTCCCCGAACTAAAAACGAGTCCATAAAAAATATCACGTTCAAATGCCGTGCAATCAAAATACAAACTCTACACCGATTGCAGATAAACATTTCTTCGAGAAAAATGAGATTAAATAAACTATTTATAAAATCGATTTCAAAACATGTTTGTCCAGGATCGATCGTACATCGAACACCAAAATAAATATAGCGCCAACAAAAAATAAAAAATGTCTCTGGTTCAGTCTTTGCTGTGACTCTCTCCCCCAAAGATCCACACCCCCAAATTCATCGCACAGTCACCGTGGTCGGTCTAGGAAATCTCTGCCTTTGCATGAACCCCAGCACATTCTTAAAAGGCAACTGCATGTGGTAGTACGCGCAGTACGGCAGTGGATCCCACATGGCGAATATGGCCTCCCTCCTATCCAAAACCGTGCCAATCAGCCTCGTCACAGCCTCGATAGAAGGATTATGCACAGTACTCATAACCGTCTTAGGCATCTGATAAACTCCATTGCTGTTGACCAAAGGCCCAGAGCTCTGCCTGTTGAAATGCTTGCAGGGTTTCCAAACCAGCCGAGGGTGCACGTTGGTGTAGCAGATGTAAGGCAACGATACCCCCACTCTGCTACTGAGCGGCACCACCAACCCCGAATCCCTAGAAACCACGAACCTGAAGCTTATGTGGCCGGATATGGGTCGCAGCAGCGCCAGCTTGCTGAAGAAATTGCTCAGCCACAAGTTGATCTCTCTATGCTCCACTGGTACCAGCTCCGTGTTGTTCTTGCTCATTTTGCAGGTGACGTTAGCTATGACGTGAGATTCCTTGACGGTGGTGCAAGTCATGAAGTGCTCGCCCTCTAGATTCTGTACGACCACCCATGGTTTCTGCTCGCTGATCTCGTTAGGTATCTTCAAGTCTGCTCTAGACAACGGCAACAATATTTTAGACCGCTCTCTTAGCCCTCTAGGTCCAGCTGTCGTCATAACATAAAGACCTCTCCGGATAGCTCCGGTGTCATAAAGCTTCAGCACGTCCTCTCTGGAAGTAACCACGTGGTAGCTGGGAGTAGGTATCTGGTACTTCTGGCAACGCTTCAGCACCTCCAAGGTATCGTCCAGCACCCAAACCTCCTTGATACCAGGCCCGAAGCAAGAGCAGCCAAGAAGCTCCAGGTGAGGCTTAGCCACGGCGTCATAGTAAGCTGATGTAGTAGCCGCTACAGGAATGTAATAAACAGCTTGCTCCTTATCAACGATCTCGCATAAGGCTCTGACGTATTTTTGCTGCTGGTCGCTCGTAGGTCTGGGCACCGTGTAAAACTTGCTCACGGCTGTCGAGTACCTAGCTAGAGCAAAAAGCCCTTCGACCTCACATACTACTACCCTAGCCCCCGCAGAGTAGAAGTTCCTAGCCAGGTGCAGCGCTTGGATGGTACTACCTCCGCTAATGAGCACGGTCCTCTTCTTACTGCTCTTGGTGGTGTTTGGCGACAGGACTATGGATAGCAGGATCTTGATGATGGTGAGCGGTAGCTGCATCAGTTGAGTGAAACACCACACCCACACGGATAGCCAAAGAACAGGCAGGGCGAATATGAGCTGTCTCCAAGTGGATGGCAGCAATCCGACCAATAAGGTCTTGGCGATGCGGAGCAGGAAGCAAGGGTACCATCCGATAAGTCTGGACAGTTGCGACAGAAAGTCAGATTCTTCGTCTTCGTGGAAGCTCAAGGCAGGGCTCTGGCTTCTGGAGTCTCTGGCGTCTGAGCGGATGACGAAGGGTTCCTGGATTACTGTACCCAGGCTGGAAGATCTGCGGATTCTGCGTCTCAGGGTGTTGTCCGGGGAAGTGGATATGGGCGAGAAGGAGTTAGGAGAGGCAGGGCTGTGGATTCCGGAACCACTAGAGGAGCTTCCGGCGTGAATGCTCTCGTTGCTGGGCCACTTGACGCGGGACAAACTCTCAGATAGGACGAAAGGCATGGCTGCGGTGCCCTATTGAAGATCACACACGATACTGGGATATTGTTAGTCTCGTAAGTGATACACAAAGCGACTGATTATTGAATAAACCGTCGGGTAGAGCGGTGGGTTATCTTATAGTCTGTTGATTTGTACTATGGACTGCAGAGGCTGGTGCCCCACTCTGAGCACAAGCAGACAACGTGCTTGTTGCCTGTTGAGGTAGGTAATATCGGATGGACCACGTGATTAGGAGCATGTAGACGAAATTATTTCGAGGATCGCCTTCGGATATATCTACAATAATAATGGAAGAGCGGTAGAAATGCGGGTTCAGTGGATATAACGTTAATTTGATGATACGGATAATTGACTGATTTGCATTTTGTAATTAATTGTAAAGGCATCAATAAGTATATCAGCTTTTCTCGATATAGGTACCTAGATGTGGGTTTTTTGAACTCTGTCGCAAACACACATGAATTAATATTGTTGTAATGGTTAGGTTGAAAAAATAATCATTAGTATAACTGTTGGTATATCTATAGTTCACGAAATGTTACCCAAACATCGTAATATTTTGTCTACACCTTGAACTATATAATATGAAAATTTAAGCAATTGGTAGATTCCTTGCAAGAGTGTAATTAAAACTGATTTTTGGTGTCAATGAGTTAGCAAAATATTTCGCATACTCTGCCGAGCTGATTCAATTATGAGAGAAAACAAATTAGATGACTATCAGAAGATTCCTTAATTTGAATGATAAAACGAATTTTAATTAGAAAAAGTCCATGCATAGCAAAATAGGTCAATCTTTTTAGGAGATAACCCAGTTCAAAGTCTACAAATTCCTCTGTAATTAATTTATTTTTGGATATTTTCGGAGATGTAGCAAAATAGAAAAGAAGCTTATGTTTGTCGATTTGATTCAAGCACAGAAATACTTCGCATATGGTAAACAATTTGGAAATATTTAATTTTTTTTGTCTTTGTTATTCAGTGTAGGGATAATAGAAGATATAGAATAAGTTACGAAATGATATATATAATTTGAATAAAATCAGTACCATACTAGTTTATTATACCGTAAAAACAATTTTTATAGACTTAATTGACAGTCACACATTAATTATATGGATTATAAAAAAACTTAATTTACTTTATGATAGCCTTATGTTTTATTCACTTTTTTTTCACAAAAAAAAATCAGGAATACTCATTCATGGTTTTTATTTTGGAAAATAAGCATCGTTTCATAAAGGTGGCAGGTCCGGGATAACGTGACAACGATATTTAAATCAACTGATTTCTTGTGATTTTTTCATATAGGCCTATACCTTCGCTTATATGAAACATTTTTCTAATATAAAAAAATTGTATCCCAACTATGGAAGTAAATATAAATATAAACAAAATATTGGAAGAAACGATAAGAAACATTTTATTTCGCTCACATCATATAGGTAGAGTAGGCATGGAAAAAATCTATTAGGATTTGAAGTTATTTTTCATTTTTTGAAAAACTATTTATATTTTTTCAGTTGTTTTTCTTCGTAAGGATGTCAAGGATATTTGAAAGTAGTTTTCTTGTTCCACACAGAGATTTTTTTCGTCTGTCAAGAAACGTATAACATTTTTGACAAACCACTTAATTTCTTTTGCCAAACACATTTTTAGCTGAGAAGCTGGGAACTATGAACTGTTATACCTACAATTCTATGAGGATTCCTATCAACATCAATGTTGCGAACACGAAATTCTAGCGTGAAATTGAATAAAAATTACAAATATTTCACATATCCCCGGCAGTTCCATAAATTCCCGTTTAACGGTACCTACTTATTAGGTATTCGTTCTGTTTCCTATATAACACGATAATGATATAATCACTAAAATTTCCCTAAACAAAAATTCAATTTTTTTTTATTAAGAGCCTCTATTATAAAATACATAAATAAGTAAACTATTATAATATAGCTGAATGCGCAATCATATACTGCCGCGCAAAATTTGATGAGAAAACATATTAAATCAAGTAGTATAACCTTTTTGAAAAACGAATTTGATCTCAAATAGAATTCAATGAAACTTGTCTGCCTAATAATAGGTATTCCTATATCCATATATCTATTCATATCATATTTCCAATTCAAACTCCAATATAGTCCCAATTTTCAACATTCAAAATCATTCCAAATATGAATCAAGAATATATGAAAAAAAATAGGTATATACTTATACGAGTTTCCCGAAATTAGGTTCATAGAAAGATTTCAACTACAGATTGTAGAAACAAAAATGGTGAAAAAAGTTGATGTAGTATTATAGCTATCTGAAGAATAGCCCTAGATGATTGAATTATATGTAAATAGTTCCGAAACCATTTGTGTTCAGGTAGCGAAATTTTGTACATGTATATAACTTTTCATGCCCCATTCGGAAATATTAAGAATTTTCTGAAATTTTGATCAGGGGCGTGGAAAATAGGTGGGACTAGGGGCATTTCTTCCCCCAATCCTTTTTTCAATGTAATTTTCGGCAGTTTGATCAGGTAATATGGAAATATCAAAATTTTTACTTAAAAATAATACTCCTGTTCAGTTTCGATAGCACTCAGCGTTTTCGAGATAAATCGATTTCAAGAGTCTGCTGCGTAATAAAAATAGTGTTTTTTTACAGCCTGATCATCATTTTTACTTAAAAATAAAATACTTCTGTTCTGTTTTGATAGCACTCACCATTTTCCAGATAAATCGATTTTAAGAGTCTACTGCGTAACAAAAATAGTACTTTTTCACAGCCTACTTTTTCAAATTTGAATTCACTCAATTACTCACGTTCTTCTTATATTATTTCGTTTTTGTTCTATTTTCATATGTTGTCTCTATGGGCCTTAGTCTTTTGGCTCTTGAAATATCAATTATGAGGTATAAAATAGGTATATCCAAAATTCCAAAACTTTAAGAAGAAGACGAAAATGACAGTAACTCATAACCCCATATTTTCGAAGTTTATCAAATCAAAACACAAATGATATATTATACATTTTTTGATCATACTTTTACTTTTACTTTTTAAGGGCAATGATACTAAACCAAAATCATTCAAAATATGTGAATAATGATAATACCTTTCCAAAATTTCCTAAATAGATCTAATCGAAATCCACTCTCAAGGGTATAAACAGGTGGTTATTTATATAAATAAAAATCAACTCACTTTGCCACAGGAGGATAATATGTCTACTATGATATTTCATTTGAATTATATACCAAACTACTGATTCATTGCAAAAAATCTTACTGAATACAAACAAAACAATTCAGTTTCAGCTTTGTTGACAGTTAACTACTACAAAACGGCGGGCGATTCAAAATGAATCTACCTGGAAATTTCCAAACATTCTCTCAAGTAAAAGGTCTGTGCATGAGCCTGATCCAGAATCCAAAAGACATAATAAGCATCAGAAAACTGAATGGAATATTAGTTGAGTCAGAAAATTCCTTTGTGAAAGTCATTCAACCTATTGTACTTTCAACATTTTATCCCATCATCAAAAAGATATCTGAAGATAAATCAAGGTACTGAAATAAATAGATACAAGATTTTGTCCCAATAACTAATCTTTTGCTCTTTAGTTTCAGTGATGATGAAAAACAATGTATTACAGATACATTAGGAAACTTGTTAGACAAATCCATCATTGACAAGCTGGGACTATTTTTCAATATCTATGCATTTTTGCTATTTGAAATATATGATCATATGCAGCACAAAGGTTGAGAGATTTGCAATACAACCAATTTTCTTTTATCCATATCTCAACTCTGTTTTTTTGTAGTATTGCCTATACATGAAGAATACAAGCTGAGTATAATGCAGTGTACCAAATCTCTTGCAAAAAGTGTGTCATCAGATCTTCTATTTGATCTTTATACCAAAGGGAATGCCCCAAAATTGTGTCAGATGCTCTATGTTTCAATTGAGATTGCAAAAAATGAACAACTAAGAAGTTTGAGGTGAGTATATGAAATTTCTACAAAGAAAACAAATAATGTTTTATCTTATCCTATTAGTAGTTTTTACTATAACAATATGAATTTGAATTTCATGAGGAATAAAAGCATCTTCATTATATGTATATATATGTTGTAAAAATTAATCATTAGGTATAATTGAAAAAAACCTACAACTTATATTCTGAGTGTTATGGAAATTGGAGTAATAAATAAAATAGGGTGGCTCTGTACAGGGTTATCTCTCACGTTTTTAGGGAACACCCTGTAAAACTTCTGATAAGGGCTGTGAAAAAACCTCATAGGGGTGGGCCTTTTTGACTAACTTTGTAGATATCAGACATGATGGCACAATGAGTAGCTAAAAAATAATTGAAATAACCATATATCATTAAATGCCCAGCAAAATTGCCAAAGTTATTAATATTTGATCATGATTTTAAGGAACATACTTTCAAGGCACTCTGAAATTTACTGGTAAATTAATATCTGCCAGAAGAAAATGTTCATGAAAATATTTTTGTTTTATTTTCCTGCCTTGGCATTCTTGGCAAATTAAAAATTAGGAGATGAAAGTAAGGAAACTGAAGAATATCATTGTCAAGGACCAATAATATAGATTTTATTGGATTTTATTTTTCAAAATGAAACTAATTTTACTGAAATACAGGGTGTTTCAAAAAAACCTAACCCACTTGCTAGGGTAGGTAGAACATTGCAAAATAAGTTGGCTTTGCTCAGTAAAAGAATGTATCGCCATCCGTTTTCAAGATACAAGGTGTTGAAACAATATCTTTTCTACACATTTTTTACGATTATGTTGAAACTACTGGCAACATTGTGGTGAAATTTTGTATGGATGTTTCTTGGGATCTGACACATCGCATGCATTTGTTTTTATATCTGACTCTCATAGAGGGCGCTAGTTACACGGTTCGTACCGAGTAGTTTTGAACATAACTTTTTTGAGGTTAGATTTTTCAATCCAAATTTGATGTGAACTTGAACATCATTCAATTTCACACCAAAAAGGTACTCTTGATAAAACTCGATACTGTGTTCCGTTTTCGGAATATTTCGATTTGAAAATGATGGTAACTGTTGCTGGTATAAAGCTATGTATTAGAGTGAGTATTATGAAAAATTATCACCTATTTATTGAAAACCGAAAACAACAATACATTTCTGATGCAAAACTCATTGATTCAACAATGAATCAGAAGAATAACATCGAAACAGATTTGACTAAGAACATGGATTACACAGTTTTGTTGTATCTTGAGCAGAAAGTCTATGCTACATAGGTAAATTCACGTCAAGAGTTGTGAGACATAATCGAACATTACTTAAATGGCCTAACAGCTGATCCTCAATTTTTCAGAAGAATATTACATTCTTAAAAAGAGAATATAGAATCGTGTATTCCTCGAAACGTAAGACATTTTGAACACTTATACTCTATGATTCAATATATTTCATGTTTCTAGTCAAATATCTCTTAATTTTCTACTTATGATTCTTTGTTCCATCAATAACTTCAGCACAAGAATAATTTTATTGTTTTTGAACCTGAATAAATAGGTAATTGAACTCAATAAAATTCATTTTATACCAGCATCATTACTACTCCATTATTTTCAAATCGAAATATTCCGAAAACGGAACATAGTATCGAGTTTCACCAAGAGTACCTTTTTGGTGTAAAATTGAATGATGTTCATGTTCATATCATATTTGGATTGAAAAATCTAACCTCAAAAAAGTTATGTTCAAAACTACTCGGTACGAACCGTGTAACTAGCGCCCTCTATGAGAGTCAGATATAAAAACAAATTCATGCGATGTGTCAGATTTCAAGAAACATCCATACAAAATTTTATCACAATGTTGTCAGTTGTTTCGGAATAATCGTGAAAAATGTGTAAAAAAATTTTTTCAACACCTTGTATCATGAAAACGGATGCCGTTACGACATTTTTTCACTGAGCAAACCCAACTTATTTTGCAGTGTTCTACCTACCCTAGCAAGGGGGTTAGGTTTTTTTGAAACACCCTGTATATGAATAATTTATTTTTATTTCTAGAATTGCTGCCATTGAATGCATAATGTCTCTTGCTAGAGTACTTTCTGATGATGATTATCAAGACTTGATATTGAGAAAGCAAGTTTCAGAAGTGTTCTTATTTTTTTTACCAGGAGTAGCTAGTGGTTTGAAGCAAATAGCATTAGAAGACGAGAAAGTTGGACACAAAATACCTGTGGTAATTTTTTTTCATCCTTGACACCCTCATGCCTCATTTTTTGCCCTTTCTAGATAGCTCTAAGGGCTTGGGGCAGAATTGTAACACTGCTGATGCAAGATTATAATGTCTCAGACCAAAGCTTGAACACAGAATTTGAATCATTCAAATTTATAGAAATGACTATCTCAAATTCCCAGAAAATGAAATGGAAGGACAACAAAGAGATCACAGAACACTTGAATTCTACGAAAATATCACCTCAATGGTACAAGGATACAGATAAAAAACTAGAAGGACTTGTCCAGGAATTTGGAAAAGTATTACACCATTCTCACCCCAAAGTTAGAAAAGAACTATCCCATATGTGTGAAAATATTCTTTATCATTGTTTGAGGTAAACAATTTCCTACACTTTGAAGGCAAATATTGAAAAATTGTCCATTATAATATATTCTGTTTAGATGTTAACTTCATGTTTTGAAACACCCTACAGACAGTACCCTATACAGTGTGTCCCACTTACCATGCTCACCATGGGTATCTTTTTAACGGTGAGAGATAGGAGGTCGGTTAAATGACACCAAATGTGGAGTTTGTCAAGGCCAACTATAATGTGAAAAAATATTTTGATAAAATCTATTCGTTTTTGTTTTATATGCAAAAAACAGATTTTGATCATTTTCATGTCTCCTTGGTAACTTCTTTATTTATGAAAATATTCAAATAGGAATTTCACATTCTGGCAATTTTTCAAAGTGATTTCGAAAAAAATATGAAATTTATACCAACCCTTCTAGAATTTGAGATATCAGCACCAACTTTAGTTTTTCAAATGTAGATCATAGCTCACTATGACTTAGTTACAAATAACTTTTTCTTCTCATACAGATGATATGTCGCATATAATTTTGTGTCGATAACAAGGGAGTTATATCGTCATTTATACAAAAACAAAAAATTATTTGGAAGCCGCCATCTTGAATTTATAAATTTCAACACAAAAATCATGATCTCCGACCTCGAAAACCCCCACTTACCAATTTTGAATGGAATCGGATCAAATCTTGTCCGCCATCTTGGAGCAGGCATTTTTTTTGATTTCAACAAAAATTCCATAATGTATTGTCACCGAAATTATGAACACCTGCCAAATTTCAAGTTAATCGGACGACCAGAAGTGGGAGATGTTCGTAAATCCGGTGACAATACATTATGGAATTTTTGTTGAAATTTAAAAAAATGGCTGCTTCAAGATGGCGGACAAGATTTGGTCCGATTCCATTCAAAATTGGTAAGTGGGGGTTTTTGAGGTCGGAGATCATGATTTTTTGTTGAAATTTATAAATTCAAGATGGCGGCTTCCAAATAATTTTTTGTTTTTGTATAAATGACGATAACTCCGTTGTTATCAACACAAAACTATTACTGCGACATATCATCTGTAAGAGAAAAAAAAGTTATTTGTAACTAAGTCATAGTGAGCTATGACCTACATTTGAAAAACTAAAGTTCGTGCTGATATATCAAATTCTAGAAGAGTTGGTAAGTATAAATTTCATATTTTTTTCGAAATCACTTTGAAAAACTGCCATGAGAATGTGAAATTCCTATTTGAATATTTTCATAAATAAAGAAGTTTGGAGGAGACATGAAAATGATCAAAATCTGTTTTTGCAAAAACGAATAGATTTTATCAAAATATTTTTTCACATTATAGTTGGCCTTGACAAATTCCACATTTGGTGTCATTCAACCGACCTCGTATCTCTCACCGTTAAAAAGATACCCATGGTGAGCATGGTAAGTGGGACACACTGTATATAGATTTATAAAATTATTTTTTTTAGAACCATGCCATTATCTTCAAGACACTTGATTGAGATTATAATAACCCTGTCTGAAGATGAAGAAATAGAGATAGCAAATAAAAGCAAAATCATATTGATGAATCTGTCCCAAAAGCTTTCCTCTAATAACATGAAAACCTTGTTAGAAAGTCTAGAAGAAGGATTTTTGAAAGGAATCAATAGTTTGCCAAGGAAATTTAATGGAATAGGTAACACAGCTTTTTTCTCTTCATAGTTCATCATGCATGAAATTTCATTTATTTCATAAACTCAGATAATTATTCCAGATGAATAATTAATGTTCGAATTTTAGATGAAAGAGAACAATTAGCTTCCCTGAATCTCATCATAGGTTATCTGAATATATTTGGTGAACACAATTTGACACAGGTTTTGTTGTCTGGGAATCATCTGAATAAACTGATGCAGACATTGCTTCACATATCTGAATTGAAAAAAAGTTCTGTTGGTTTATTAGAAGAATATTCCATAAAAGGTAACTCCTCTTTATATATTTTTCATTGAGATATTAGTCCAATAAATAGTTAACATTAATTACGCACTATTTTCATCTTCCGGTTGGAAGTAGCTTTTGGTACCTCATTAAACTTGAGACAAAGTTTGACTGGAAAACGCGTGCGATGACGGAGAAAATGGCCCCAAAAGACCAGAAAGATAGGTTTTCAGCCAATATCTCCTAAAATATGGCAGTTAGAGATTTTCGGTTCAGATAAAAATTGAAGTTCAGTTAATTTTCTACAAAAATGGTCCTTATCATTTTTCTCGAAAATTTGCCCGGTTTCGAGAGAAACGGCACGAAGCGCACCTCGAATAATGAGCTCTTGTGTTTTATGCCGGAGAGTACAGTCCGTGTATTTACACATCGGTGGGGGGACAAATTATTCAATAACTTTGTTAAAAATGCATATTTTCTCATGATTCAAAGTTTGACTTGACTCTTTTGGCCATATCGGAACATGGGTCAAACTTTTGCTCCCGGTCAATTTTGACCTCGCCAGGAATTTGTTCCTATTTTTTTTGTATTGCACTAATTTACTCAAAATTCTCTTGATTATGGTCCTCATAAGGTCCTTCCTCATCCCTGAAATTTATATACCCTGATTCTTTTAAATTTTCATTTAATCTTTGTTTATTGAATCCCAATTTTTTGCTGTTTTTGGAGCGCGGGAAAATTTTGTGAACAACCATCAATTAAAAATTTATACATTATCCGATTGGTTTCTATGATACATCATTTGAAAGCTAAGAAGATCTACTTTTCGATTGTGCAATTACTTTGTTAGACGAAGTCGTCCAATTTTCAATAAAATTAGAAAAAGCGGGGTCAAGGAAAAAACGCACTTTTTTTTCGGTGGTTTTCTTCTGCGTGCCATTTATTTCTAACATTTTAACACCTCAACTAGTGTAACGGGGGAATTCCCACCTTTCCATCGATGTATATAAGTCATACCTTTGATATCCCGAGAAAAAATCAGTATATCTAAATGCGCTATAATTTATTACTTTCGTTCCTCCGTCGTTCGCCGCGTGTGTGCTCTACGTGGCGCTCGGGTCGTCTGCTACAAACCATGCCACGCAGGGTATGATAGCAGCAGAATTCCTCTTTCACATGAACTTTGAATCATGAGAAATTATGCATTTTTAACAAAGTTATTGAATAATTTGTCCCCCCGCCGATGTGTAAATACACGGACTGTGCTCTCCGGCATACAACAGAAGCTCATTATTCGAGGTGCGCTTCGTGCCGTTTTTCTCGAAACCGGGAAAATTTTCGAGAAAAATGATAGGGTACATTTTTGTAGAAAATTAACTGAACTTCAATTTTTATCTGAACCGAAAATCTCTAACTGCCATATTTTAGGAGATATTGGCTGAAAACCTAACTTTCTGGCCTTTGTCTCATGTTTAATATGAGGTACCAAAAGCTACTTCCAACCGGAAGATGAAAATAGTGCGTAATTAACGTTAACTTTGCCTTTTTTCCTCCTTCATTTATTGGACTATATTGCTTATAAAAATAAACTTATTTTGTTGTGACAATGAATTTCCAGATTTGCATCCAGACTTAGATTTGGGTGCCCCCTGGAAGAAATTTGTATATTTCAAGGAAGACTCTGTTCAACTTAAATTAGAAAAACTCTGCTCACTACTGGCTAAATATAATTCATTCCAGATGGTCAGTGATTTTTTGCTTGACACTATCATGTACAATCAGGAGCATAGAAAAGAGGCAATTTTCATACTAAATGGAGCCATATTAGGTATTTCACTACCTACACACAAAAAAATGTAATTCAAGCATCACCTTTCCTTCTAGGTATCCAATTCAATGAAGTCAATGAACAAATAATAAAAAGCATTGTCAACACTTATATTGACAATAAGTATTGGCAAATACCTTTGAAAGTAGGTTTAGACGAATTTGGGAGAGAAATAACTCTTGCAGAGGTCCAACAAAATGTAATTCAAATGTGTTTGTTGGTTGAAGGACTGGGTAAAATAGCCCTCATCTTCAAAGAACATTTTCAGCAATTCATTTTCAAAGTTTTATACTCGATTTTGGAAAGAGCAGGTGAAATTATTTGAAATCATTAATTATCAAAAAATAAAAACATTATTTACAATTCATATTATTTGAACATTCAAACGATTTTTTTAGGTAGTAGTCATTCTCTTATAAGGGCTGCAGGACTTGCAGCATTGGGAAATATAACTTTATCATGTGGATATTCAAGTATAACCACTTTGATTAATGAAAATATAGACTATTTTACGTACAGTGTTGAAAGAAGACTGAACAGGTCTGATGATAAAGAAAAAGTTTTGAGTGTTTTATCAGTAGTCTTGATGTACAGCACAATGGATGTCTTGCAATATCTAGCATATATCATAGAAGATGTGAGTACAGATTTCAATAATGGCATACAAGGTATTACAAAAATTTACTCATTCATCTTTAGCTAATAACGAATTTTAAAATGATTTGTTATTGCAAAGCATTATTTTTCTCCTGGGAAGCACATTTTCCATGAAGTTCGAAATGATAACAATCTTGTAGGTTTACTGGAATTCTAATTTTTTTCATCTTTCGGATCGCAAGAAACAATTCCTATTTTATATTCATGGAATTGATATAGTAGTCCCATTTGACCATGGTGCATTCTCTAAATTGTTTCTAGATTCCTTTTCATCGTATTTTGAATTTGAAATAAGGTTTTCATAGGTTTTGGTACAATCTTGTGATAAATTCAAAGAAAAAAATTCCACCGCTTTTCTCCGAGTATTCAAAATTTTCATAAAATGTCTGAGAAAATGGCTCGAAATTGAAATCGAAGAGAAACCCATCATACCAAAAGCCCAAAAAGACAGAGAAATCGAGGATTTCAAAGTAACAGGTTCCAAAGAAAGTTGTGACGACTTTTCTGACGAAATTATGGGCCAAACAGCTGAAGAAATGTTCCAAGAAGACATGATAAAGAAACAAGAAGAATTGGATAACCAAATCGAAGAATCTGAAGGTATGAAAATATATCACTATACCGGATGACACCTTAGACATGTAACAGCCTGTAGTTTTTTTATTTAAAGAGATACAAATTTGAAATTCACAAGGGTTATATTCACTTTTCTATCGATACTTTCACGGGAAATGTGCTTCGGAAACCTCTGCTATCATCCCTCCACTAGCAATACCAGTCAGACGAACTAGACAAGCCCAGTCAGCACATCCTTTCGTTGTCAACCTCGAAAGATGTCGAACAGCACTTTATCAAAACTCCTTCATCCATAGAACGGCTAGGCTCTGGAATTCATTGCCTGAGGAAGTATTCCCAACAACATATAACCTACAGAAGTTCAAAAAAAATTCCAATACCTACCTCCTATCCCTATCCTCCCTAGGAACGCACGATGTTCTTTGAACATTATAGGGATTCCCTTTCGTGCGCTCCAAGCGTTAAAAAAAAAAAAAATCGATGCTAGGGTAGAGAGAATATTCTGATAATATCGTCTAAGTAATGATCTTTGGATTTCTAAGCCTATCAATCATGGAAATGTCATTCGGGCAACAGCCAACTTCATTTATTTCAATAAAATGCAATTTAACAGCCAATGGGGGAGACCACTAATTTTTTAAAATGACATTTTCGTGAACTCTATACTTACTAAAAAACTACCAGTGAATTAATTTTGAATTTTGTCATTCATGCTAAGACGATGGAAAAAATTAATTAGAATATCTCCATTTCAAAACACACAATTCCTGCGCCATTTGAAATTTTGTCAATTCATTGGTGTGACTGGTGCGACGTCTTATTCCCAACACGCCTATTGTCCTTGAACTGACCAATCACACTGCAACACTGCTGAATGACGAGGTATCAGAGAGAGATAGCTACAGGTCGGGACTATTACGTCACGACTCCACCATCATATTTGGCTGTTGGAAATATCGAATGAAATATGCTGATTTCAAAACGATATAGTTTCGATTCACTTCAACTTCAACTCATAATATCGATTGTACATCAAACGTAAATCATGATTCGTCGATTGAAAGAGGTTTGCACGGATTTCTTCTCTCAGTGGTCTTCTCCACGAATATCAAATTGTGATTCAGGATTTTAAGTTGAATAAGATAGGCTACAGAAATACAGTGTGTCTCTCATTTCAAACGCCCCCCCCTCTATATCTCAGCTATCAGTCGTGCGATCTTTACCAAATTTGTATCGGTATGAATAATCATCAATATGACCAGTTCTTCAAAGACAAACGTCATTTTAGACAGTGCCGTGCATTTTTATTGAAATGAATAAGGGTCAGTTTTTTATTAAATCATATTAGGCATTTTTTCACAAGAAAACTGGCCTCATAACATTGTTCTTCATGGTTTCGAACCCACATAATAATATGTGGATTTTCATAAGATGCCTATGAAGGGTTTCAGAAAAACAGGCACATCTAAACAGCATTTTTGGGAACGTAATAATTATTTACTCAGAAACGGTGAGTTCAACATAAAAATGCATAACTTGTTTTTCCTTCCAAATCATGATTTTCCACCTACCGGAGCCATTGAACGTTCAAAAATTCGTAGTTGATTTGAAGTAACTATTTATTCGAGACTGAAAATGAAAAAAATGAAGCCAATCCTGTTAATTGGGAATAAGGTGATTTTTTGTATATGGAGAGGTTTGAAAGCATGAGAAACAATAATATGAGGTTAGATTTCCTGTAAAAAAATGTATACAGGGTGCCATTTGAAAAAAAAATGTTGGGTCTACTTCTGATCAAACAGGTGGTTGAAGAAAATTCTCATTGGGTTCAAGGAAAGCGCCATCATTGATAATGTAACTCTCGTAAATTTCGAATTTTCATCTCTTCAACTAAAGAAACTACAGGCTGTTACCAGTGTCACCCGGTATATTCAATTTTTTCAGGCGAAGAATACAAAAAACCTGATCCGCCATTACACGTCAAACTAACCGTCGCCATTTTGACGAGAAGCCTACACTTTTTGCCGTCCAAAGACAAACTAAAAAAACTACTCGTCTTGGAAATCTTGACGAACGGTTTAGAAGTGATTAGAGATTATGAGGATGAATTGTTGCCGATCGTACATCAAGTTTGGTCGCCATTGGTGCAAAGATTCAAAGAATTTGATGAACCGTTAGTGATTAACTTTAGCTTCCAATTGCTGATGACTCTAGCCAGACTTTCCAAGGAATTCATATTGATGAGAACTACCAAGTAAGTGTCAAATTAGATATTATTGAAGGAAAATACTATCTACCTCTGCAAAAAAACGGCAACTAGAAATCAGACCCATTTTCAAAGTTGATTTCTTCAGGGCCCGCGTTTATGTTCTAGAATCTAGATTGATAATCGCCATTAATATAAGAGTTGGTTAAACAATTTTTTCGTTGACAATACATATTTTTGCTGCAATGAATCAAATCTAGTTCGCGAATTCATTATTCATCCGGAAACTATACCAACACCCAGTAGATTTAAAGTCAACTCGTCATTTAAATTTGTCGAAATTATCGAATATACCCCTTTAATGCACTTCAGGGAATCCCTCATTTGAGGGACTAAAGTGGTATTTTTAATCCCTCTGGGATGAAAAGTAAATACTAGCGTTTTTCCTCAAACGCCACTTTTAGATGTCTACTACAATATGATAACCACCCATCAGTGAGCAGTCTCCAGAGTTGACATTTTGAAACTAGAATAAGGTTATGGTCTTTCAATATGTTCTTGATTATTTCATTTTTAGTTTTTCCAATCCCGAATCATCAATTATTGCCGTGTATGGAAGGACACATTTTGAAAACATATCGCATACAAAAAAAACGAGTTACAATAATTGGAAATGATAGGCCTAAACTAGAAAAAAAAAACGAAATTGGTGATTCCTCTGCCGATTTTGACCTCGTATAACAAGATCAAACAACTGATTTACAATCGAAACATTTCTCACTGTCATTTCCGTAAAAAATTATTTTCATAGCCACCTCAATCCACGTGGTAAGTAGAACTTTGACCAATTTCAATTTTTAATGAGATGTTACTATTCATCTAACCCAGGTCTATTCTATATCTCCCTGAATAGTATATTTTGTTTTTTTATTCATTGATTTATCTCTAAAATTTTCCGAATTATAAATTTTTTGCTGATACCTTACGCTTATCCCACAAATTAAATTTATTGAAGGATCAGAGTACTCAAAATTGATTGGGTTGTACTCTGGTAGGATCACATTGTCTTTAAAAAAACAAATGCATGTCGTTGCCATAGCAACTAATTTGTTGTATACCTCCATATTTGACCATTTGTCGTTGTCATTAATTAAGTGTCTTGTTTTATTGGCTAAAATTACATAAAATGCCTCAAATAAATCCTGAACAAGTAGCAAGATTAGTTGTGTTAGTAAACGATGGGCGTAGTAAACGTTACGCCGCTCGTGCAGTGGGAGTTCATGAAGCAACTGCTCGTAGAGCAATCCGCCCCTAAAAAACTTCTGAGATGATCGTTTCTTGAGATTGCGGATTTTACGGGATCGATCAAATACTGCGGTAAATGTTCAGCAAGATTTTCGCCAAATTCGTGATGTTGCAGTAAGTAAGCAGACGGTATGTAGACATCTAAAAGAATGTTAATTTGAAAGCTAGGAAACCTGCAAAAGGTCCCAAATTATTGCCCGAACATCGTGCTGCTAGAAGAAATTTTGTTGAAAATTATGGACAGTGGAATATTCCTAAATGGTCGAATGTCTTGTTTACGGATGAGTCAAGGTTTTGCCTCAACATGGTGGATGGAAGAAAAAGAGTGTGGGGAAGAACTGGTGAACGGTTTAATCAAAATTTATTAACAGAATGCGACAGTTTTAATGGTGGGTCCGTTATGGTGTGGGGAGGAATTTCAATGAATGGAAAGACACCCCTTCATGTTTTTCCGGTGAGGCAGTCGATGAATGTCCAAATTCACATTGACATTTAAGAGCAGTATGTCTTACCTTATGCAGAGTTAGTGGGCAATAATTTTATATTGATGCAGGATAATGCCCGACCACACACCGCAGCAATAGTGCGAAACTTCTTAGAAGCCACTGGTATTACCACATTACAATGGCCTGCGAGAAGCCCCGATATGAATCCTATAGAACATTTGTGGGATGAATTGGGGAGAAGGGTACGTTCTCGCGAGAGGTCTCCGGAAAGTCTCGCAGAAATGGCAGATGCATTAGTGGAAGAATGGGATCGTATACCAATGGAAACGATAAGCAACTTAATTTCCAGTATGCCTCGTAGATTAGAAGTTCTAAGAGTTGCTAGTGGAGGCAATACACGGTATTAAGCAGTCATCCCAATTTATAATTTTGTGTTTTCTGCAAAAAAAGCTGTAATTCGGAAAATTTTAGAGATAAAGCAATGAATAAAAAAACAAAATGCTCGCAAAAGAAGCCTCTTTCGTATAGGGTGCAAGCACTTTCTATATCATTACTCAATTAACACACAGGGTGAGTCAAAAATTAGGAATAAATCATGGTTCGAGTTATTCCATCACCATCAAGGCTTCGAAAAAATTTTCCCACCAACAAGTAAAAAAAAATAAAAATCGGCCTACAATTTTTTTTTAAGATAGGTCAAATATCAAGTGCGTCACTTTTTTTGGAACTGAGTGTATGTTCTTCTTTCCAGAGAAGTGTTACCGAACATTTTGATAGTACTGAATAGACTTTCCAAAGAAAGCTACCTCAAAGATAAAGGATCAGCGTACAGATACTCCCAAAATTACAAGTTGCAGCTGCAGCTGCTCGAAAATTTGGCGCAAATACTGATTCACTTGGACGTAAATGAACCGAATTTGAACAAAGTGATGGAAAGCATTCACGCATATTTGAGTGACAAACAGCCTTTGCCTCTACAGGTGAGTAGAGTTCCTAAATGTTCTTGACACTGCTGTTTTGACGTTTTTTGTATATTAGAGTACGGACACTAGACAAGCAGTGACAACCACTCATAACCACAAACGATTTTGAAGCAAATCATATGTTTTGCGAGACAAGGACAAGAATATGTTTTCCGCTTAGATAAAGGATCCTCGCATCTTCCATCCTCCACAAGTTCTGGGATGAGTACATCCATATATCTTTCTCTGTCTTTGATTTTTGTATGAGAGGGTATAGCGTCTCCTCGAGTGGGTAAAAGGGTACGATAAATTGATTAGAAAATTATTTCTTCTCGAAATATTGAATGATAAGGCTGAAGGATCTCAATGGAGGTCGATATCAAGTTAGTAGGTACATAATATACATCAACGAAATACATATAGTATTCCTATGAAATTAGTATCTTATACAGTGTATCCATTTAGTGCGTAATTCTTCGATATCTCGAAATCAATTATCACAAGAGAAAAACTTTGGAGAAAAAACTTTTTCAGTTACTAAAGTTGCTCATTTCGAAAATATTTCCAACGATACTGGGTGTTTCATAAAAGCGGGGCAACTCGAAGACGAGTTTTTTGAAATGGAACACCCAGTTTTGTTCATTGGAAATTTATTCCGCTCAAGTTCAGCTGTACATCGCTGTGAAAAAATTGAATTTGGTTGCGGCGTTGACAAGTTATAATTGATAAACCCATTTTTACTACTATTGAAGGGTCATGTTCAATTGGGTATGGTATATTTATTTATTGAAATTTCGAAAATATTGTTGGCATACAGTAGTAGCAATGTCTCACGTATACCAATCCAGTAATCTCGCGGGATAATCCTCTACAGGGTGCTAAAATTTACATTCTGAATATTGTGAGATTCAGACAACGATCATAAGAAATTTTCAAATGGAACACCCTGTATTTTTCATCACGGATGTATTTCGACATCATTCGCCTTTTCATCGCAAAAAAAATCGAAATCGGTTGCGGCGTTTTCAAGTTATGAGTAATTTCCTTATTTTTACTACTATTTCGGGGTAATTTGTTCGTCCTGATGGTTCCTTAATTTGATTTGAGTGTGGGAATATTGCTTGCCACATGACATTCGAGGTTTTATATAGATCATTCAGGTATTTTTGTGATATGTGCATCGTCCAAATTTGAAATATTCCGTAATCTTGCTACTCAAATATTATGTGAAACAAACAAACATGCCAAAAGCAACGCCTGTCTTTGAAATAACTTCTACAATACAAACAATGAAGATGCGTATTGCGAAAATTAGAAATTTTTTTTGAAATTTGGGCCATTTTTATTGTCGTTATTCCCACAATCCAAATCTCCATTTACCTTGAAGAAGGTGAACATAATGATACAAACAATATGTCTCTACTACGCAGCTTTTGGGAGGAAATTCACCAAAATGTCGAATCAATCCAAGATATATTTGATTGTAGCGATGTTTGACAGGTCATTACAGAAATATTTCGAACAAAATTCAAACTTGGAGAGCCTGTAAATGTTCCTTTTGTGAAAATATATATGAATGGTCAATGAACAAATTTGATTATACCGTAGCAACACAATATTTCCACAATACAAATAAATGAAATAACTATGACGTACAAATTACCCCGAAATAGTATAGTGAAAATGAGGAAATCAACCATAACTTGACAACGCCGCAACCGATTCCGATTTGTTTTCCAGCGATAAAAAGGCGAAAGATGTCGAAATGAATTTTTGAATAAAAATACAGGGTGTTCCATTTGAAAAATTCTGATGAAAGTCATCTGAATCTTGCAAAATTCTGAATGCAAAATTGAGCACCCTGTTGAAGAACATGTCGCAAAATTACTGGATTGGTAAACGTTGGACCTTGCTCCTACCGTATGCCAAAAATATTTTCAAAATCTGAATAAATGAATATACCATGCCCAATTCAACATGACTCTTCAATTATGGTAAAAATAGATTTATCAATTATAACTTGGCAACGCCGCAACCGATTCCAATTTTTTTCACAGCGATGTGAAGGTGAACCTCGACGGAATCAATTCCGAATGAACAATACTGGGTGTTCCATTTAAAAAAACTCTTCTTCGAGTTGCCCTGCTTTTATAAATCACCCAGTAATGTTGAAAATAATTTTGAAATGAGCAACTTTAGTAACTGAAAAAGTTTTTTCTCCAAAGTTTTTCTCTATTGGTTATGGCTTTCGAGATATCGAAGAATTACGCACTAAATGGACACACTGTATATGTAGGTATATAAATTCGTTCAGTTGAATATTTGTTTATCACAAAAGTTCAGAATGGGGTAAAAACTAATAAATTTCAAGAAACATACTTTTATTAGTACAAAAGAGTGGTAAGTTATAAGTAATTAATAAATAAAAAAATAATATGACAACAATAACAGCTGAGCTCAACTCACTATAGATCGTTCACATTGCTAACGGGGATTGTTGGTTTGAACCCGGCCATCGGAAGATCATTTTCAATACCTAACATAAATGGTGCACTCGTTAAGCATTCTTGTTCTGTGCTCAGATAATATCTTGCTCGTATCTTGGTACCCAAGAAGTGGTTCAAAATCCACTAGGAGCTATGTAGTCGTCTAGCACCTCTCAACTATATGCATGAACGTGCACATTCAGACTTGGGATTTCAGCTTTGAAGAAGTGATACACGAACAATATCTGGTACATCAGAGTTCCACAAAGTGACTATATGTTTTCACAAAGTTATTATAAGAGTTCGGATACGAATATGATCTAAAGAATTCTTGGTTGAACAGGGATGTGAAATCAGTTTGAGTCAGTCAATTCAGGAAGATTCTGCTATTTCATCATCAGATTATCTCCATGGTGGCTATTGTGTTCTCTGCTCCATCATTCCATCACAAGCAATAACCAGAGTCTAAATTGGAATAAGGTTTCGATACTCGCTCAGTTTATAAGTTGTGGGTTCGGCTCTTTCTCTCAATACGATCCTATTCTTCAACTTCATACCAAGAAATTTAAATACCTCGCAAATTTTGTGGCCTGAACCTATATTCCATGCCGGCTGCATCATATTCCGTTTCCATTTTTGTAGAATTACGTTATCCGATGGAAATTCGAATAGAGTGAATTGATTTCCCGTGTTCTCACAGTTTGAAACTGCACAAACTTGCATCTTTCTCCTAATTCTCTCAATTTGTCAAACCTTTGAAATTTATGTCATGTACGTCCATGCACTATTAGTTCCCGCTTTTACCATCAATTTATTTGTGGTTATGTCTGATTGTCAGTGCTTGTCATAGTGTCCGTACTCTAATTCGCGAAAATCACGAACCAATAGATGGCGCCTGTCCAACGTCAAATTTCAAAATAGAGGTGAACAACAAACTGTTGTCACTTAGTTGTCACATAATATTTCAGAAAAATGCCTAAAGTTGAAGTGTCCATCGCGGATATATTAGAATATATTGGCGATAGGGTGAGACCCTCGAAAGAAGGAGAAGCAGTTTTTAGAGCAGGTCACATAATATTGTGTGGGGTGGATGCAGAACAAACGCATGTGATCAAAAGCTTGTGTTTACAATCATCTGCATTAGCAGAGTCTCCTCATGAAATAAGTATCATCCCAAATAAAAAAAACATTTTCGAATGCAAATGTACTTGCCTTAAATGAAATTTGCAAGCATAGATGTGATTTAAAGAAGTTTAATTCCTTAAACTTTACCTTCAGTTAAAGATTTATTGAAGGATGTAAAATCTCCAGGTAAGAAGTGCTCACTACAAACGTACATATTATTGGTTATTGGTTTACCAATCTTCAACAAATTCCTCCATCTTTTACACAATTTGGGGTTCCAAAGTGGAAATTTGTGTAAAGAAACACTGTCTGTACAATATGAAGAGCACTGCGGAACTGAACAACACTTTCTCGATTTCGTATTTTTGGTTTTATGTATTTGCTGCATGTTGAAAGGTTGAAAATATCTACCTATCCCATATACCTATACAAAATAATCACGAAAATCATTGAAAATAGTCTACTTTTAACTATAAAAGTATTGAATCATAATGCTGACATGACAATGTGACAATAGTGACAAGTGGTGACAATGCTAAAATGGATTGTTGTTGACCCTTAGATCAACGCTTAGATCCTACAGATGATCTAAGTGTTCACCTCTATTTTATTTCCAAAATCAAACACCAGAGGCCACCCACTTCGTGATTTTCGCGAATAAAGAAAAACGTCAAAATCAGCAGTGTCAAGTACATTTAGGAACTCTACAGGTGAGTACCTAGGTACATGGAAAATACTTGCTGGAGTTATAATTTTTCCTTTACAGATGGCCGCTAAAGAATTTTTCAAACGTTTCGCTTCATACGATCCGATTCCTGTTTTGAAGAAACTCGAATTTTGGGAAAGCAACAATAGAAACAATGAATTTGAGAATAATCTGAACCAATTATTGTTATTTATCAAATAAATGATAATTGTAAATGAACGTTACTTTTTTAGCCTTAACCTGATGAAAATTTCATGGGAGGACTGGGTACAAGGATACATTATTTTTTGTATATTTTAATACAAAACTGGAATTGCACACACAAATGTAAAATTAATATATTATGTACAGTATTTACCTGATAATCATATTAAAACAAAATTTAATAACAACTGGGATGTTCCCATCACTACTTACACTTTTGTCAGGCTAGTGGAAGCAGTTGAAGATAAATCCCATAAAAACATTAAAAATCTTGATAAACCCTCAATTACATAATTCGATGAGATTGTTTTCAACTTCAATTACTGTATATTATAAACAGTAATATTGACCTGTTTATTGAATAAAATTGATAAAAAATAATTGACATTCCAACAAAAAAAGTGAAATTCTGAAAAAATCAACAGAATAATTCACCAAAAATCGGCAGAAAATTATTGGAAATCTAAAAATGTGTTCTCAAGTTTCACAATGTTTTTAGGTACTGCAACCACCATACAAACTAATGATAACAGTCTTAAAAATAGTAGTACGTATTATAGAGAATTAATAGAAAAAGAATTTTATTCCATAGCAAATTGACCACAACATATTTTGTACACACTAAATTCAATAGATTTTTTTTCGGTTCGTCAATTTTTAAAACTCAAAAAACTGATAAAATAGAAATAAAATCTGTGTAAGGATTTCTACCCCAAAATTCCGAGAAATATATATTATCGAATGTTAAGTACCACGGATGAAAACCATTTCTTACTTATAAATTGAAATAATCACAGTTCCAGCTTATACAATAGGAAAACACATTAGCTATCTGTAATATTCAACGTTCAAATCAATTCAATTCATTTATCATCGAGTCCCATAAAATATAATATATGTACAAATTGATAAAGAAAAATTATTGGATTTAAAAAGTTCAATCAAGACTATGTTCTTAAAAACATGAATGCCCAAAAAGGTTTTAAAAAAATTCATTATTTCTTTTCATAATGTAAACATTTTTAGTTTAAGTAAAACTTGAGAATTTCGATAGAATGTATACCTGAAAATTGAGGTACTTCATAAGTCATAATAGAAAAATTTCAGATTTCTCAAGAGATAGAATGAGCAATAAAATCTCAAAATATAAATAAAAACATGGTTTGAGAAAAGTCAATATTTTTTAAATTCAATGTCTTTTACTAATAACAAAAAATTACGATTGAATAATTATAAGAACAATTAATAAAATGAAATATAGTGTATATCATAAAAATTTACTAAAAATCTGAAATCCTCAGGGAATAAAAAAATTTAAACAAAGTCCCTCAATATTCATGCTCCATTCAAATTACTAAAATGAAAAACTGTGCAGGGTGATTCACTATACCACATGTCCACAAAACTTGATATTCCTCAATACACCAATACTAATTATGTTCTTAAACTCGTTCAGTATCTTCCATCACATTCAAATTTTGCATTCAATTGATTTCCTTCTTTGTAGGAGAATTCACATGTATATTTTTCTAATGGCTTTGTACAATGTACAAAGAAAAAATAGTTGTCTTGTACTATCACCAGATGTATTGAAATATCCCAATCCTACTTCCAACAGTTGACTGCCACGTTGGGGATAACTGGTCTGCAATCATTTGAACAATCCATATGGTGAAATTTGAACTGCCATTTTGTGAACACGTCAACTGTCGAGCAGTGAACATCTGGACTGTCATGTTGCAATCATTTGAACTGTCTCAGTGAAACCTGATCTAAGGGTTTTGAACATCTGGACTACCATTTTGTGAAAATTTCAACTACAATTCTGTGAACATTCGGACTGCCATGTTGCTATCATTTGAACTGTCCTAAATCATTTTTATTGGAAAGCTTGTCAACATATGGACAGCCATGTTGTGGAATAATGTCTCATAGTGAAATCTCTGAAATTTGAACATTCTGGCTGTCAGGTTATGGATATTGGAGCTACAGTTTTGTAAACATTCTGTGAACATCTGAACTGTCATGTTGCAATCATTTGAAATGTCTCAGTGAAATCTGATCTAAGGGTTTTGAACATCTGGACTACCATTTAGTGGAAATTTCAACTACAATTCTGTGAACATTTGGACTGCCATGTTCCTATCATTTGAACTGTCTTAAACCATTGTTATTGGAATGCGGTGTTGTCAACATCTGGACAGCCATGTTGTGAAATAATGTCTTATAGTGAAGTCATAACTTCTGAAATTTGAGCATTCTGGCTGTCAGTTTATGAATATTGGAGCTACAGTTTTGTAAACATTCTGTGAACACACAATTCTGTGAACATTGGACTGCCGTTTGTGAACATTTGGACTGCTGTTTATGAACATTTGGACCATCGTTTGTGAACATTTGGACTATTGTTTGTGAACAATTGGACTACCGTTTGTGAACAATTGGACTACCGTTTGTGAACAATTGGACTACCGTTTGTGAACATTTGGACTAACGATCTCGAAATTCCAGTGAACCACCCTGCAACTAGTCCAACCCAAATTACGTATACCCCCTTACGAAAGCCCCTAGTTTTCTGTGCTGACCGGCTCCCTAGCGTGATGGATTTGTACGTGTTTGTTGTGATTCGACTTGGTGGTGGAAGTTTTGCCGCAAATGTGACAGGTGTGCGGTCTGACGCCGCTGTGCACCCGCATATGGTCCTTGAGATAGTACGATCTGTGGAAGGTTTTGCCGCATATGGTGCAGCTGAACGTTTTGTCGCTCTCGTGCTCCTTGACGTGCCTCAGACAGTTGTATTTCCTGATGAATTGGGCGCCGCAATAGTTGCACGTGTAAGGGCGGATGCTTTTGTGCGAGTTGGTGTGAGCGATGTAATCGCTCTCCCTGATAACGGTAGTAATGTTATTATTCTGAGTGTGCCAGATCCAATCTATCTGCCACTTCGTTGTTATTCTCATCAGATTTGGCATATACATTTGATTCAATGGTATGGATATACAATGGGGAAGTTTGCGGTATTGGGTTTATTATCTCAATGTGAAGTTTGTAAAAAAATAATACATACGTATTTCTTCTTTTTTTCGTAAGATCAAATTCCACTTCAGAAAAAAATAAATAAAAAAGGAACTTGGCTCCTCCACTATTCCTATAACGTATTCTCTGAAAATCCACATTCACACAAAGTTAGAATACGCTTCCTTGTGCCAGAACGACGTTGCTGACATCATCAATATGTCTAGATTTCCGGAAATTGTCCTTTGAATGCATAACTATATCATAACAGCAATGGGATATAAAAGGTTCTTCAATCCTGTGTCAAGTATTATGAATCATTCCCATCAATCTCTCATTGGCTGAATGAAGTTGATTACTAATAGAGATAAATTATGATATTTTGCGATAGTATCTATAATTTTTCACTATCGTTATATTTCAATATGTTATTCATAACTTGGTAGTCATTTTTTTGCCTATGATTACATCTTGCAACAGCGCCTAATACTTCGAGGCCGTGCACATCACTCAAAATACAGGCACAACAAAATTGAGGAGCCATGGATGTCGACTTCATTTTGTTCTGACTGATGACAGTAAATCAGGAAGGATAGTATCATTGAATGTAGCCGATAGTGATTCATTGATTCAAAGATATTTTCGTTTAGGATCGAGCTCTATTCAAGATATTTCAATGCATAAATAACAAAACCATAGCCTGTCGGAATGAAGCCAACTACCCTCTGCATTCCTGCTCCGGGTGTATTTATGGTTATGTATAATATTGTTTACCAGTTTTACTTCTTCTTCTATTTTTTTCATTCATTTTTCATTCGCTAGCTATATTCTTCACCATCAGCTATTTTCAGACTAGATTCAGAATGTTCTTCAATTTAAATATGAAAACGACTTGGACTTCATCGGTCGCCATTCTGTACAGCGTGGACATAAAATTGGAGAGCTCTATACCAAAAAACTACCAGTAAATATAATTTTGAATTTTTCCATTCATACTAGGACGATAAAAAAATTGAATATGTCAATTTCAAAATACACACTTTCTACGTCATTTGAAACAGGCATTCCGAAACACAAATCTACAATTTGGTCGAAATTTCACCAGTCGGAGAGTGTAGATTGGTCAAGTTAGCGCTAATGAATGACAGAAAAAAATATTCTCTGGAAGACAATCAACAATAGTTAACGCCACACATAAATAACAACTTTGCCATTAATTTTCTTCATACCTTATGAAACCAGCATTGCACTGTTCGCACTTGTAGGGCTTCGATGACCGACTGGCGTGCGTCCATTGGTGCAGCTTGAGGTTCCATTTGGTGGTGAAGTCCTTGTTGCACAGGGGACAGTTGTAGGGCTTCGCGCCGCTATGGTTCTTGATGTGGACGTCCAGCGACGACTTCAGATAAGTACCTGACGATGATAATCAAAGGTTTTCCAGAAAACTCGGGATCATGCTTATTGGGAACTAGCAGAGCTCGAAAACGTTGTTTTGCTATATACATTATTTGTATAATATATTTTTTTTAGTTCAATATTCATCAAGACACTATCATTACTTCATTTTCTACTTCTTTTCAGTTTCCCCATCTATAAAAGCGTGTTTCTTTAGTTTTTCAAACTACCATTTACTTCAACTTCTTTTTAGTTCACTTGAATTTCCGAATTTTGACGAAAGAATAATAATATCCGACTCCTAAAATCCCAGATGAAAATGAATATAATCGGAACAAAATTATTGGATCTACCATCTTGAATTCCCTAATTTTGACGAAGGAATCATAATTTTTGATCCCGAAAACGCCCTCTTACAAATTTTGAATAGAATCGGTATATGATTAAAAAACCCGTCCAGTATATTGGTTCCACCGTTTTGAATTTCCAAATCCCGCCCTTTCCAAATTTTGACAAAATAATCATAATCTCCGACCCCGAAAACACCCAGATATCAATTTTGAAGAGAGTCGGATCATAATTACAATACTCGTCCGCCATATTGGGTCCACCATCTAGAATTTCCTAATTTTGACGAAAGAATCATAATCTCCGACCCCGAGAACCACCAGATACCAAATTTGAATGAAATCGGATCCTAATTACAAAATCCGCCATTTTGGATACGCCATCTTGAATTTCTTAATTTTGACGAAGGAATCATAATTCCCGGTCACGAAAACCCCTAGGTACCAATTTTGAAAAGAATCGGATCATAATTACAAAACTCGTACGCAGTGATGAAATTTGAAATTGTTGGTCTATCAAAATTCTGAATTTCCTTTTTTGAGAATGAGGCAAATTTAAGTTGCACCCTTCCTGAACTGAGGGAATTTGCCCAAAGGGCTATAAATGATTTGTTGCCCAAAAACCTCGCCCAGCTTATGAAAGGTAATTTCACAATTTCCAAGTATGGTGTCAAACTGGCGACCTATACCACCACAATATGTAAATTTAAAAGCTTCTTGTTGACCTCTACACGGCAATGGTTACTGCATAAATAGAATCAACACAATTGTAAAAATGCCAAGAATCATTACAGAATATCTCAAATTACCAAATCCTGAGATTTTTACAGGACACTGTTTTCGGCGGTCTAGTGTGCCCCATTTAGCAAATAGAGGCGGTGAAATCCTCAGCAGTTGAAGGTTACATAATATAAGATTCTGTGTTTTCTTCTCAGCCTTAAACTTCTACAATACATCCTGATGCCTCTACCTCACAGACGCATTGCACAAACAATAACTCGAACAATCAGACTAATGACCATAATTTTGTCTCAACAGCAGCCCAACAAAACTTACCAACAAATTTGATAAGTAATAAATGCTCAAGATACCTGCAATGTTATTCGCGGGAATCAATGTTACCAGGTGGCGCTCGGTTTTCATCGTTCCATGTCAAAGCCACGTCAAAACTGGAGGAAAATAAACTCAATCCTCACTCAATTCACTCAATCCCATTAGTGCCATTAGCTTGTGAACTGTGAACTGTGTACTGATAAGAGTGATGTTTTTTAATTTCTTGACATTAATTGTCAATATTCGATCAAAAACGCTAATAACGCCTGTTGTAGATGTTCTTTTGGCAGATATTTTGATCTATTTAGATGGAGAAAGCCGACCAGTAGTGGAAGGAGAAGCAGTTCTCCGTGCTAATCATGTGATTTTGTGTGAGACAGAAGACTTCAACAAAAGGCACAGTTTTGCACTTTGTCTACAAACTTCGGCGATGAAATTTTCCCCACATGATGTGAAATTGAAGTTGGGGTCCAGATGAACTCCTGTAGAACAATGGATTTGTATTTGTTCATGCAAAGCAGGACAATCTGGGTATTGTAAACATGTTGTAACTGTTCTTTTATATGTCAATTGATTTGATCGTCATAATTACTTTGAATTGTTTGAACAATCTCCAATTTTTCACCCGTTCACTGTTCACTAAGCTAATAAAAATGTAATAATGTGAAAAAATTAACCAACTCAACCATCATCACAACCAACAGTGCCAACACTTTATGTCATTGACAAGTTTGACTACAGCTACAGCAAGCTGAATGCAATGTAGTCTATGCACTTTATCAATAGACAACAATTTGTTTTCCCCAGTTTGAAGTTCGTATTATGTAACCTAGATGTCGCCCACTTTGTGAATCTCGCGAATAGTTATTTGTTGCGTTCTGTCTGTAGACGCTAGTGCGTCTGACTCTGACAGTTTGACGTTGACGTTACCATTACCAACTTTGAAACAAGAAATTCAGCGTGTCCTAATAGAAGCTGTTTCAATACGCATTTGAGTGTCATAATGACTTCATTAACACTCAGGCTGCACAAGTTTCAGTTCCAGCCGTGTCATGCGAAAACGACCGACGATGCATTCAAATCTCCATTAAATCTGAATTCGCGGGCTCAAATGAACGTCTGTGAATTGTGGCACTCACTATGAAATTTATAGCTGAAATAATGCCTCAGAAACGTTTATTGTATAAAATGTGAAAAAAACTCATGAACATATCTGAATCTAATTATGGTTGAAAAGGGTTTTCACATGACATTCAATGCACATAGAAGGCATCTCTTGGCAGCCTTCTCAATGCGTCTGCACTCTCTTCACCTCTTTTTTAGCCCCCTTTCTTGTACATATAGTTACACGAGATTTTTGTAACAAATTAAACCATTTTTCTAGCTTTCGGTGTTTTATCCTTTTGCTATTACAGCAAATGTTCCAACCCCTGTGAGTTTATCAATAAATTTATAACTAATAGGAGTATATCATGCACTTTTACTTCAGGGTGAGTCATGGCTAACCAGCCATAGCCTAATGGCGTATAGCGGAGGTCAAGGTGAGTTGATATATATATGTAAAAAAATATTTTTTGCCTATTCTTTACAGAAATACAGGGCACTATTTGAAATCGGGGCAAAACTTCAATGAACGATATTTCAGGAACGTCTCGATGTTATCGGCTGAAATTCACTAGCAACTTACCTCTACTGACACTCCACAAGATGACGTACTACGAATAAAAGATTCCAGAACCGGACTTGGAAAACTCATTTTCTCTTTAGATGTCAAAATGTTGACCTTCTGGATCGGATTTTTCGGAAACTTTCATCAGAATCAGAAAGATCAGGAAAAATACTACAAGTATGGCTTCGCAATTCATATGGCACACTTCGATCGATCGAACAAAATACCGATGAATTTTTCTTCGATTTCGTCCTGGCATATCTCTCAAAATTCAACTTAAAATAATTAAATCAAATTCTTTCCTGGAATGATTCAACAGCAGACTTGAGAAGAGGTATAATTCAATAAAAAATCCAGGACCGGACTTGATTTTGGATAATAACAATTATAATTTCCGAAAAAGATTTGTCTGGATCTTAATATTAATCAAGATTATCGAAATGTCCTCCTCCAATTCCTATACATTTTCTGCATCTTTTCGGGAGATCTCTTATGGCTTTTCCAATAATTTGCCTATCATTTCTGATTATATCTGCAGCTGTAACTATCCTCTCCCTCAGTTCGTCTCTGGTGTTATATTAATTGAAAAAAATCGCCTTGTCAGGCCGCGTCGGTCGATTTAAGCTGACGTCCTTTTATGCTCTTCTGTACACCAAAACGACTATACAATGTCTGAGCAGCAATATGCTGATCACTTGGATGCCTTCTACTCTGAAAACTTCGCGTGGCCTGACGCGTTCAAACCAATGAAACGTCCTTTTATGCTCTTCTGTACACCAAAACGACTATACAATGTCTGAGCAGCAATATGCTGATCACTTGGATGCCTTCTACTCTGAAAACTTCGCGTGGCCTGACGCGTTCAAACCAATGAAACGTCCTTTTATGCTCTTCTGTACACCAAAACGACTATACAATGTCTGAGCAGCAATATGCTGATCACTTGGATGCCTTCTACTCTAAAAACTTCGCGTGGCCTGACGCGTTCAAACCAATGAAACGTCCTTTTATGCTCTTCTGTACACCAAAACGACTATACAATATCTGAGCAGCAATATGCTGATCACTTGGATGCCTTCTACTCTGAAAACTTCGCGTGGCCTGACGCGTTCAAACCAATGAAACGTCCTTTTATGCTCTTCTGTACACCAAAACGACTATACAATGTCTGAGCAGCAATATGCTGATCACTTGGATGCCTTCTACTCTAAAAACTTCGCGTGGCCTGACGCGTTCAAACCAATGAAACGTCCTTTTATGCTCTTCCGTACACCAAAACGACTATACAATGTCTGAGCAGCAATATGCTGATCACTTGGATGCCTTCTACTCTGAAAACTTCGCGTGGCCTGACGCGTTCAAACCAATGAAACGTCCTTTTATGCTCTTCTGTACACCAAAACGACTATACAATGTCTGAGCAGCAATATGCTGATCACTTGGATGCCTTCTACTCTGAAAACTTCGCGTGGCCTGACGCGTTCAAACCAATGAAACGTCCTTTTATGCTCTTCTGTACACCAAAACGACTATACAATGTCTGAGCAGCAATATGCTGATCACTTGGATGCCTTCTACTCTGAAAACTTCGCGTGGCCTGACGCGTTCAAACCAATGAAACGTCCTTTTATGCTCTTCTGTACACCAAAACGACTATACAATGTCTGAGCAGCAATATGCTGATCACTTGGATGCCTTCTACTCTAAAAACTTCGCGTGGCCTGACGCGTTCAAACCAATGAAACGTCCTTTTATGCTCTTCTGTACACCAAAACGACTATACAATATCTGAGCAGCAATATGCTGATCACTTGGATGCCTTCTACTCTGAAAACTTCGCGTGGCCTGACGCGTTCAAACCAATGAAACGTCCTTTTATGCTCTTCTGTACACCAAAACGACTATACAATGTCTGAGCAGCAATATGCTGATGACTTGGATGCCTTCTACTCTGAAAACGTCGCGTGGCCTGACGCGTTCGAACCAATGAAAATGCATCGGCTCAGCACGAGATCAAGCTGTCGGTCAAAAATGACTGACATGGCAGTCAGAGTGTTAAAGACGCAAAATTGAAAAAATAAATCTCCGCAGCTAAAATCCAAATTACTTACCTTTGCAGATGGGGCACTCGACGTTCTCGTCTTTCCGCTTCTCCTGCGGCAAGAACTTGTCGTTGTGCGCCCTGCGCATATGCCTCGTCAGGCTGGACAGATGCAAGAACTTCTCGTTGCACTGCGAACACGCCTTCGGCTTCGTCTCGTGTATCTCCTTGTGCCAGGCCAGCTTCTTGGTCGAGTGGAACACCTCACCGCAATGGCAAATGTAGTCTTTCACTTTCTTCTTCACGTTGAAGTGGTGGAAGTTCTTGTGCTGGACGAGGTTGGAATGCCTGCGGAACTTCTTGTCGCACATGGTACATTTGAGAGGCGCCTCACCGGTGTGGACGTTCTTGTGCTCGTCCCGTTTCTGGCGGGTGATGAAGGACTTTTCGCACAGGTCGCATTTGTAGGGTTTCAGGCCCAAGTGTCTAGACGAAAATTTCGATTGACAATTTAATAGGTCGCGTGCACGAAGACCGACCCTGGAGGCAAAATATTGAAACACAACCTCATTCTTCTGTGAATTAATAAAACACAACCTCACTTTTTTATTTGGTTACAGAGGAATCAAAAGGTTGAAATAGTTTTTCACAATATTTTGGCATACGAATCGTGTTTCTTGCGTTATTCATTAATTCAAGCATGCCTTCGCATTGTGCTGTTGTACAATGCACAAAAAATGCAGCAAGAGACTAGGGAATATGAGTTTTCAGGTAAATAGTAATCTCACATAGTTAGCATTATGAAATGTTGTCATTCCTCATTAAAATTCCTTCTGCCTTCTGCCACTTCTGCAATACAAGCTAATGCTGCTAATAGATTGAAAATGTCTACAACACACACGATCGTCAGCATGTCAGACCAGTCCTACCGATTGATTGCATGAATCCAATCTTGTTGCATTATTCTAGAAATTTCAGGTATATTTCTATTAGCTGATCCTATTGCAGAAGGAATTCCGATGAGAAATCAGAGAAATAACCAAATTTCAACAATGAAAACTATGTGAGTGACTATAGTAGGTACTTACTTTTGAATCATAATGTACCATCCGGATTTCTTCATCTTCCGCTGCAGTTTTTGTGCATTTTACAACAGCACAATGTGATGGCATTAGCGAATTGATGAATAGCGGAAAAATACGATTCATATGCCAAAATAATTGTGGAAAACTATTTCAATCACTTGTAAACAAATATGTTTTGCCTCCAGGGTCGGTCATCTGACAGTTCTTGCACGCGACTTATTCATATGAATATGAAAAATCCCACATGCCGCGTGATTTTGTCATTATGACAGCGAAAAAAAAGTTTGCCCTAACTTTTCCAACGGAACAAGGATAATGTAGGGTTCCTTGATGCAAACTGACGTATTTGTCATTTAACAGGGTACGGACAGATCATAGCTCCTTTCTCTTTTAATCATCTAGTGACTTCAGTTTCGTGTATTGGCGTCCCTGACATGACATTGCTGTCACGTCACATTCATAGGCGTTAAAATAGATCTCACAAAATTTAAATTTCATACTTGATCTTAATACGACATTATTCAATTCTGTTTTGGACGGTTGGTAAAGTGTGCTGCGTTAGGCTGTATCAATCAGTTGGATGGCAATTTGAATTTGTCAGCTTTCTATTAAATGCAAATAAACTTAGAACATGGAAAGTGAAGTGACCGAATGGGGAAAATTGGTAAATACATCAGCAAAATATTCGTAGAAACAGTTTCGATTGAAACGGAGAATTAGAAGAAGAGGTATATGCCCTACCATTTAAAAAATTATATCTACATTCAGAAAATATTAAGTGTTCGTGAAAAACCGCAAAAATGATTCCCAACATGAATATAAACAGCACACATGACATATGAGCACATTAGTTTAAATACCTATATAAAATTTGTCACCATTTCTCAACCATAAGGCTGAAATCAAAATTCATTTATTGATAGATACTGCCTAAAGACAGTCCCATTTGATAAAACGTATTAAACTTTCAGACAAATTTGCTCACTGCCTCACAAAAATTATGCTGGAGTTGATTGAGAAATTACATGTGGAAATTAAGTATGATACGCCAATGTCCTCAATATAACCTAAAAAACAACAAATGTCAGAAATCTAGTGTTAATAATCTGAAGATTTCATAGATATTGGTGAGGATATATTGGTGAAACTTTTTATTTTGGAGTCGAGGAGGAGGACTCTCTGTTGATTTCCTATAGCTTATAAAATATTTGGAAAAAGCAGTCTGTCACTTTGCGCTCCGGAAACACAGCTCTGATGCCTGGAAATGTTTGGAGAAAACAACATTGCTAGGAGTTATGTACTTGTCAGGTATCCCCAAGGCTTCACAAGTGATTCAAGTCAGTTTTTTCCATTTTTCCTAAAACGGAAACTAAAAAGGTGAAAATAAATTTAAGCATGTTTTGAATTGATCCAAAAATTTTCAGGCCTGGTTTGTTTACTAACCTAAAAAAACATTACTTACCGAAAATAGTGAATATTTGGAAATATGCCACTACTGCTGGAGAATCTAAGGAGTCATATTGAAGGCATAACGAAAACTCATCAAAAACGTATAAAAATTCGGAAAACGGAAAATTGTGAACACCAAATAAACACAAAAGCTGACAAATGAAATTCAGTAATGCGCAGACTCGCCAAGGGGCAATCGGCGCCATATTGGTTCTCCTTGCTGGAACAATTTGTTTCCCTTTTCCTCTGTGTTTTAGTTCTGTGGTGTCACGTGACCATTTTTGATGTCACGTCTCTTTTCCACCCACGTTAAAGAGATAGGAATGTATTGGATGTGTAGTAATGTGTCATGTGGTTTTCAATCAATGTTGAAGACCTGTTACAAGGTGCTCAATTTGAATAGTCACTGTTAGTGTTTTTGAATGTTTAGATTCATCAAGTTACATACCTTGCATTGTGACAAGAGCACCATCCCATGCTTTTTCATTCAGAATTCTCTAAATTTGACAGGAGATTTCATGAACATGAGAAATGAAATATAATTTCATAAACTATTGAGAAGAAAGCATGAATTAAAATGTCCTGCTGTGTGAGGAATGGGGGAGACCACTGATTTTTTAAAATGACATTATCGTGAACTTTATACTGAAAAACTACCGGCGAATTAATTTTGAATTTTGTCATTCATGCTAAGACGATGGAAACAATAAATTAGAATATGTCCATTTCAAAACACACAATTCCTGCGCCATTTGAAATTTTGTCAATTCATTGGTGTGACTGGTGCGACGTCTTATTCCCAACACGCCTATTGTCCTTGAACTGACCAATCACACTGCAACACTGCAGAATGACGAGGTATCCGAGAGAGATAGCTACAGTTCGGGACTAATACGTCACGACTCCACCATCATATTTGGCTGTTTGAAATATCGAATGAAATATGCTGATTTCAAAACAATATAGATTAGATTCCCTTCATCTTTAACTCATAATATTGATTGTACATCAAACGTAAATCATGATTCGTCGATTGAAAGAGGTTTGCACGGATTTCTTCTCTCAGTGGTCTTCCCCATTGTGGTAATATTTATGGTATAACATGGCATACCTTTTTTCTAGGGTCAAAAATAAAAAAATAAGAAAAAGAATTGAAAATAGACTGTGATTTTCCAAAAAAATATAGAATTTAGATTCCAAGAACCCCCATTTTCTTCCAAGGAAACTTGAAATGATGAAATGTGAATTTCAAAATTTCCTTGATTCATTGATAGAAATTTACACTCTGGGAGAGTCATTAAAGGAAAGTGAGAAGATTTTACTGAAATACAATCATAGAAACCATAACAAAAATACCATTAAACCATACCTTTTCATGTGTAATCTAATGTTTTGACGTCTGAAAAACAGCTTGCCACACAGCCTACACTCCAGAGGATGAACTTTCAGATGGTCTGTGTACTTGTACTCATTAGGAAAGGCTTCTCCACAAGTGGAGCACTTATGTCTTGTGGCAGAATCATTCTTATGCATCTCCATCTTGTGCTGTCTCAATACCTTGGCATTAAGACATACACAATCGCAAATGGTGCATATGGTTTTCATGTCTCTTACCACCAAAGAAGGCTCATCCATCTTAACAGGAACTTCTAGGGCTACCACCGGGTCCACAAGTTGCTCTTGCTTCAGCTTATTGGTGAAAACATTGTCAAAATTCGGTTCTGCCTCCACCTTGGTGACAGTCCTGTGGGTTTTCAACTTCACCACCAATTTCCTAACTTTCTTTTTGCCGATATCTACCCCAATGATATTGCACTTTGTTTTCTCAGGGTGCATTTCCAATTCATGAGATTTACGCTCCTTGGAAGTAGCAAAATCTTCCCCACAAATGGGACACTTGAAATTCAAAGGAGGCCCAGAACAGCTTATTATGCTCACAGGATCATTGTCCTCATTGAAGTGCTCAGTGAATTCTATCTGCTCTTTGGGTTTCTCCATCACCCCTGGATTGTCCACACTGTCACTGTCAGAGCCTTCCCAGTGATCTCTACCAATCAAATCATAGGAATGTGACATTCTAGAGCTGCCTTCTTGGTAGTGGATGCGATTCCAAGTCAAGTCAGTGCTTCCTCCCATGCTCTCAGGGCCAGATAACTCCCCACGTGCAGGCATTCTTTCATCTGAACGGATGTTGACTTGTGAACTGCACCTGGACATGCTCTCCTCAAAATCTCTGGGTTCATTGTACTCTCCAATGGTCAATAACACTCCAGGCCTTTCAGGAGAAGCATTTTCAAAATTTTCCACCTGTGCTACCACATGGTTGGGGTTGAAATCATTTATGATCAATATGTCATCTAGATTGACATAGTCCAGGTGATCACCTCCATGTAGAATATTCGCAGAAGTATAAATAGGATCAGATTGCTCATAATGTTCAGTATTTTGCATTCTGGTGTAGGGAATTGAGCCAGTACTGTGATGGTCATCATAAGTGACTGGTTGCTGCTGATGTATGAATTCTTCATTTCTAGAGTTTACATAGAAATACTCAGGATGGTCCTCTTGTTCTTGGACATAGTGGTTTTCTGTGTGCATCACTGTTGGTGCTTCTACAGTTTGAGGAGCATTATTGACTGTTTGTGTTTGGCAAGCTTTGCTCAATTCTGTATCTTCTTTCCAAGTTGTTATTGAAGGTGGTGGTACAGGAGCTATATCTTCTGTCATGTGTGTTTCATCCTGTTTGCAATTATCATGAATAACACTGCTGTTATCAATGTCCTCATAGTCTTCCTCTATCTCTGACAGATATCCCTCAGGTGGTATTTCATTTTGGATCATGCGTTCATTCTCAAAATCTGCCATTGTTTTAATTTCTATGGGTCTATCACTGAGAGATTCCTGTTTTTTTATAACAGTTTCATCATGATTACTCAAATCATTGTCTGATCTTGTTTCCTCTTCTGCATCTTCTATTTTTTCATTACTTTCTGGCACATCAGCTATTGTACTCTCAGTTTCCACATTCTCCTCAATACTCTCAACCTGTTCCTCAGTCTGAGGAGTAGTAGGTGCTTCCAAAGACCTAATCTGTGGTGGCAAAGCATTACTAGACAAAATAACATGCTGTTGCTGATACATATATGGCATCATCATCATGGGATTGAAAGCATTGGGAGGATAAACATATTGTTGTGGATTCACTTGGAGGACTGCATTCTGTGGAGATGTAGTACTCATGCTCTGTTGGTAGATAAACACATGGTTGCCATGTGGGGGGCCACTTTGAGATGCAAGCCCCATTTGAGCAGGTGGAGCTTGGTTCCAAGCATTATTAACACTCTGACCTGCTGCATTTGCTTCAACAGGGGATAGCTGTGGTGACGTCCCATTGGATTTTGAGGTGTCATCTATGCCAGAAAGCTTGACTAGGGCTTCTATTACCTTCTGTTTTGGATGGGAAGTCAAATGCTGTTTCAGAGTGATGCCTGGTCTCAGGTAGAGAGTGCAAACAGGGCATATTATGTTAATTGAGTCCATTTTGGGAGCTAGGCTACAGTTTTCAGATGGTGGTGGACTCCTTTACTAAGGGTATTGATCTGTTAAGCAAAATCAATGATTAACACAAAAAATGGGATAAGAGTTGAGATGGAATGAAGAAATTCAGTTGTAATGGAAATTTAGGTGGTTTCATGAATTATTAAACGTATGGTTGCCAAATGGAAAGATAGGGGCATTCATTATAAACAAATATGGAGTGAACAATTATTATGATAATATGAGCACTTACCTGACTTCCTATCGATGGAAAAGCATTTCAGCTAAAATATATGCATTATCACCCACTCATACCCACATTTGAAAGCAAAAGGCCCCAATGAGGAGCTGTTTCCATAAACAGGGGCAAAATTGGAAAATGAAAATTATTGAAAACTAGAGACCTCGACAAGGCGAGACTACAAGATGGAGTCTAGGGAATTTAATTTTCATTTCATTTCGATTTGTTTTTGTTATGTCAACAATATGTCAAATCAATGTCAACCAGTGCTACCACCAATAATTAGACTCTGTACACATTATATCTGTCCTTGTCTCACAAACGCTTCTAGAGAAAGATGAAGCTAAAATTAACCAAACTCCAGAACTTTTTTAGTGTAGTGGCCAAACTTTTTTTACAGTCAGAATCTGTCAAGTGTCAATATGGTCAATTTGAATACTGTCAAAGTCAGTCAATTCAACTGTCAATTTTGTTGTGGTTAATGTGGTTCTGGAGATTTGGAATATTGGAATACTGTTATGGTCGATTTTTAGAATTTTAATTGCTTTAATATACAGAGAAAAACACCCCATGGTATATTCATTAAAATGATTTCATTATTGGCTGGTAACTATCCCATATTAATGTTCACCTGTATTTCCCAGAGTGTAGTTCTTTAGAGATTAGTGACAACTTAAAAATTTACTAGGTGTATCACACTACTTGATACAAAAACTGTTTTTATTTAATCCTTTCAGTATCTAATAAACTCTTGTTGATTTCAGAATGATAGTGCCTTGAAGCCACAAACTACAAAAAACTGCCAAAAAGTTTCTATTATGCTTAAATTCAAGGATTTGTAAAAGTCAATGAACTGGATAATGACCCCTCCAAAAGACAATAATCCTATATTATCCTGATCGCATATGAAACCAAAGCTGACCCTTAGGAGATGAAACAACAACAGACATGGAAACTGAGTCAGTGAAATCAGAAAACAGTTCTAAATCTAGAAGGTCCAGGAGCCACAGGGACAGAAACAATTACAGACATCATTCCCATAGAAGCACAAGGTACATTCTAGAAAATTCAATCCTTCTTTGGTTTGCAACTATCACAATATTTTTTTAGAAGCAGTAAATCTCGGAAAAACGAGGATATGGCCCCCTTTCAAACATCAGTGACCCTAACCCCAGACAACCGTGATGGTCAAGAAGTCATTGAAGTCCAAATCTTACCACAAGATGACAACTGGGGTGAAAACACCACTGCCATAACAGGTAACACATCTGAGCAATCTGAATCCACAGAAGATGTCAGCAATTGGCCAGGAGAGCCTGACACAGGCATAGGATTCATGTGCCAGCGCTACATGGGCACCACTTTCATGTACATACTATCATTCATTGCTTTTTTGAGTCCTGTAGCTATGGTGGTACTACCCAAACTAGGTTTCTTCCCTGCACTGTCTTCTAGGTTAGGTTTGGCTGACACCACCAAACTCCTGGCTTGTGGAGCTGAATGCAAGGGGCAGCTAGTGTCTCTAGCTTTCAAGATGGCTATTCTAGCCATTGGTGCTTGGGCTGTTTTCCTGAGGAAACCCCATGCCACCCTACCACGCTTCTTTCTCTTTCGTGCTGGTGTTCTAGCTCTTGTTATGGTATGCAGCTTTGCATATTGGTTGTTCTACATAGTGCAGGTCACTGAAACAGCTAGGGCTGCTATAACCCCTGAGGAAACTGTAGACTACAAGGCTTTGGTAGTGTATGCATCTAGTTTGACTGATACTTTGTTGTTTGTGCACTATCTTGCTGTTGTACTTGTGGAAATAAGACATTTACAGCCTATGTATTATATAAAGGTAGTAAGGAGCCCTGATGGGGCTAGTAGTGCCTATGGGATCGGCCAGCTTAGCATACAAAGAGCTGCAGTTTGGGTCCTTGAGAAGTACTATACTGAGTTTCCCATTTACAACCCTTACTTGGAAAGGATCCCTGTTTCTAAATCGCGGAAAACTTCATCTAGCTTCAAGTTTTATGAAGTAGATGGTATGAATAACTCACAAATCCAGCAGTCTCAGTCTAGGGCAATGCTAGCTGCCCATGCTAGACGTCGTGATTCCAGTCACAATGAGAGATTTTACGAGGAACATGAGTATGAAAGGCGCGTGAAAAAACGCAGAGCTAGGCTGATAACAGCTGCTGAGGAAGCTTTCACCCACATCAAGCGCTTGCACAACGACCAAATTTCATCTATCCCCATGGATCCCCATGAGGCAGCTCAGGCCATCTTTCCCTCCATGGCCAGGGCTCTGCAAAAGTACCTCAGGGTCACTAGGCAGCAGCCCAGGCATTCCGTGGAGAGCATCCTGCGGCACTTAGCCAGCTGCCTGAGCAACGATCTGACGCCCAAAGCGTTCCTGGAGCCTTATTTAGTATGCGAACCGGTTTTGCAGAACGAAAAAGAGCATAAAGATGTTCAGACTTGGGCGCTGATTTGCGAGGAGTTGTTGACGAGACCGATTGGGGACGGTGTTACGTTTCAGTTGAGGCAGAATGATGTGTCTTTGTTGTGCATCATAAAGAAGTTGCCGCACTTTAATGTGACAGAGGAAGTTGTGGATCCTAAGAGCAATAAGTTTGTGTTGAGGCTGAATTCCGAGACTTCTGTATGACCTATGGAAAATTCAAGGTCTTTTGATAGACTGATTTGATGTCATATCAATTTTTTTTCCGGGTAGTTGGGGGTACTTAACCAAAAAAGTTAAGTGGAGAGTTTGTTTTGAGTGAGAGAAGTGTCCTTTTTTTGATGGTTCTAGGATATAGGTAGATGTGATGTTTTTATTAGATTTTAAAAAGTAATATTGGACTATAATGCAAAATAATTGATTCTTAGTCAGATGTAGTGGAGCAATGTTGCATTCATATTTTTCAATTTCAATTCCCTTCAATCAATGATGCCGGCAATAAAAAATTGTTAAATATTTATGTACCAAGACTACCAAGGACAAAAAACCTGTCTATTGACTATTATAGTCCAGTGTCCAGTGTTGTTCCTGGGCCTGGGTCGGATTTTTTCGTAATAGATTTTCTTGGAAAATAGTAACAGATTTGTATCAAACGGTAATAGATCCGAAAAATCTGACATTTGACATTCTGAATGTCATTCTTGTCAAACCATATCGCACAAATTAGACAGTTTTGACAGGAATGAGGCAGAAGTGTCACAGAACTTATGACATGAATATAGAACATAGACTGTGACATAGATTCATATTATGGCTATATTCCGAATTCAACTGGTCAGTACTGTAAGTTGATCCACTGACTCTGCTGAAAATCTGTGTTCCGAAATATAAAATCAAAAATTCACTACTGTAATTCGGGACACGTTTTCATGGTTTTCATCAGTAGTAGTGTCTCGTTTATCTGAACTAGATGTTTAGCCTCCTACTTGTTATAAATTTTGGAAATTTAATATTCAACATGGAAGAGAAATCGATTCTTGTATCCTCTATAGTTTCTACGATTGTTGACGATGGCGATTCAAGCCCGAGTGATGAAGAATACTTGGACATTTTGTTGCCATAAATTTCTCATGATGTACCAGATAGAGAATTGAGATTCATGAAAATCGCAATATGCCTTAATAATGATGAATTTTAGGAGACATTCCAGGTTTATTTAGTTTATTTAGCCAATGCTGCTCCTTTCCTTACCTGCTCTACTACTTCATACTCCAGGTATTTTCTGATATTGAGAATCATTTCATTAATAACGGAAATGAATGTTACATTCCTTCCTCCTCTAAAATATGACAGCAGTTCACTGAAGCCACACTACCTTTTGATACTCAGCAATTTCAGCAGAATGTTGAGTCGAAATATTTGGAATGAATAGTATATCTGCTGACAAGCATCTGTCACTTCCAGTGAATTTTTTGATTTCGGAATGGAAAATCAGCAGATTCAGTACTGCCAGTTGAATTCGGAATATAGCCTATTTTGGAGCTAACCGCAGAAAGTAATAGATTCATGACAAATCGTAACGTAACAACACTGGTTGACAGTTTTTCGCCGGGGTACATTATAATTTTTTTTGTCGACCTCAAACACTTACATCCACTCCACGGTCCTATTCACACAGGAATCATGATATCATGAAATCTATCGAATTTCGTGAATAATTAATTTGACAACAGCAAAGGACTGTCGTTGTCAACCAATGAACTCAATATAAACACATATTCCATATTGAGTTCATTGTTGTCAACTCACTCTGCGTGGACCAGGGTTGTCAGTTCGATTTTTATTTCATCAGTAATAAATACCTTGTCAAAAATTTAGTACTATTCGAATTCCAAGAAAGGATAATGAAAAAACAGAAAAGTAACCTAGTTCCTCGCCTATTTCCAACAAAATAGAAACGAACAAAACAAACATTCTCATCAAAGAATAATCATATTCCGAATTCTCAATTTAAAAATAGTCACAAATATCACAAAATACAGTTACATAGGTACTTATAAGATTTGAGTTTATAAAAAACAGGAACGAATAGTAAATATGAACAACAAAAATACCTACAAAGCAAATAAAAAAGTTAAAGGTAAGAAACAAAATGCAACAGAGGTATATAAAAAATTGAATTTGATCAGAATCAGATAAAGTATTTTTCCTCAATTCATCCATCTTTGAATCCACAGGAAATACTGGTGTATTATAATTTCTCTGTGGGTTAACATGACGTAATTGATATCCAGTGTTTTAGACAGTATTTTTTGTACATTGTTGATTTGGTACTTAACTACATGAAACCATCAGGAAACACTATGAATATCTATTTTACAATTTTTATAGAAACAGTCGTGGGAATCGTATTCCAATTTCAAATAACATTGAAAAAAGTGCTTTAAAATTATTCCAAATGCATCTATATATATGTAGGTAGTATAATGTTATAATGTACTATAAGGGTACTATGTACTTAGTTATCCAGGTAACGTACTTTTTTATACGCGGTATTTCGTACTTTCTATTGTGCTGCTCAATTTTTTATAAATGCCTTATTTATTTTTTATACCTGTGAATCTCGTTTTTTAGTCAGAAGCTATAGTTATGCGATTTATTTTCGAATATGCATCAACAGGGTGTCTCCAATAATGCATTCGTTCTGCTGAAAATAGAAATGAAATTTACTATTTCTATTACAGAATGTTTTTTTTTTACTGGAAATAGGAGACAGACTGTATCTTCCATTTTTTTTATATGAAATTATTCATAACTATATGTAGTTTTTAAATGGTATTACCGCACAATTATGTACAAAGATAATTTTGTAATACTCAGCGTTTGTGCAATTTTTTACGAGAATGTAAAGTGTTTTATATAAAATAGGATCAGTATTAATATCAGTAAAATTCGCAAAAATGTGGTTTTATTTTGCAAAAATACATATGTGGTTCATCGTAGTTAGCTTTTCATAAATTTCTGTTTGTGATTAAAAGTGGTGAATAAATGTACTGATTTTTCAACGTTTTTAATTTATTTTATTAGAAATTAATAATAACAAATTTGGTATATCAAAATGAAATAACGTATATAGATATATATAGGTTTTGACATTTGTAAACAACCTATACAGGGTGTCCTAAAACTCAACGTCATCCTTAGGAGGGCTGATGATAGTCCAGCTATCATGACCGAACAGAATATATTGATAGTTTTGGAGATATTGTCACTTTCAAGAATTTCGTAGTTTCATAGTTTAAGATTCTAATTTTTGTTATGTGACCTGTTCTATTGATTACAATCCAAATGAAAATATTGATGCTATAAGTTTGGGAAAAAACATGTTTGTCCGATTCAGGAGTCAATTTATTTAAATAAGCGTATTCAGACTGTTTCATACTGTAATTAAAATCAAATTTGGATTATAATCTATAGAAGAGATATCACAATGAAGATTTGTACCTGCGGCACTCAAAATACTGATCAAAGGTTCTGATTTTACGAAATTCATGAAAGTGGCAATATCTAGATTACTATATCAATATTTTACTAAGTTCGTGTGATATTCTGGTCAGTCATGAGCTGAACTAAACTACTCAACACTAATTTCGTCGCACACCAAAATGTCGCCCCTGTTATAATGTGAATAACTTTTTTCAGTTTAGAACAATTTGAATTTGGTTCACACTGTTCGATAGCCCAGTCCTTCAGCTATAATCTGGTACTTCATTGAAACATAAGGGTATTCACACAAAATCTCTCACTCATTGTGATTCTTGTAACGTTGGTTACGGCGGGCCATGCATTACAGAGGAGAAATGCTCTAATGTTTTTGCAAGAACATGTTTCAATTGTGTTTTCTCAGCACGCACAATTCTTGACTACTGAGAGCGAGGAAAATATGGACGCATCCAGAATGAATTGTTTTTCCGAGAACAAGTTGATTTTCATTCAATTCTCCTCCCAACCAAGATTCGAAGGGCGTTCCAGATTTGGGTCACTTTCAAGAAAACTCTGAAGTTTTATCTTCAAAATGAGCCTAAGATTTCCAAAATCGGTTGACGTGGAAAAAAGTTATGGCTGCAAAACCAAAAAGTTGATTTTTTGAGACCACTCTGTAAATAAGAGAGATAGGAAGTTGATTCGCGAAATATCTCGAGGTAATGAGATCATCTTCATGCCTCTGTTGTCGAAGTTGAGAAAAACATTTTTTACACCATTTGAGAGCCTTTTGAATATTCCGAAATTTCGCACAGTGTCGGAAAACACCATGTAGAGATTTTATGTGAATACCCTTATGTTTCAATGAAGTACCAGATTATAGCTGAAGGACTGGGCTATCGAATAGTGTGAACCAAATTTAAATTGTTTTAAACTGAAAAAAGTTATTCACATTATAACAGGGGCGACATTTTGGTGTGCGACGAAATTAGTGTTGAGTAGTTTATAAGCCCTCCAAAGGATGACGTTGAGTTTTGGGACATCCTGTATATCTTGAATACGTGAATCCATGTCGATATCAATATCAAAGCAATAATTGATTTTCAAATATGAAGAACTATTTTTTTAATGGCACCTAAAATGATAATCCAAAATAGTACATTGATATTGAGGATTAGAACAAAGAAACATAAACAGTATTAAATAAATAAGAGCAATATAAAGAGACGAAAAGATTCAAATCAGAAAAAATCATGGTTAGAGTATGGATCTCGAAAATAGAATAAAATCTTTTTAGCTAACCCAAAACCGAAAATATTTGGAAAAATGCCATCTCGATTGTAACTGAACTACGGATGAGAAACCTGTATTAATTTGTTATAGTTGAAAATTCGCAATCAAAAAGTAAAAATGACCTCTATAAATAGATTTTTTTTCGAAATATTTTCAGTTTGTAAAATTAATAAGCAACGAAATTCATCCAATTTTTAAAATTTGTGGTGTGAATAATATCATCTGATTTTTTTCAAATTCCCTCATTCGTGGGAGCCCTACTGTAAGGTGACGATGGTGATAGCCCAGTGCTGGTTTTCAAATTTATCGGGTAACGCAATAGATAGAAAATAAGTCCGCACAGCACTATGATACCACATGTCAGACCGACGATCAACACCCTGTGAGACCATTTGCCGTAGATTTCTGGGAAGCATTCCGGCAAGTCCTCGTGTTTCAATTGCAAAATCTGCCTGTGGCGCAAAGCTCCAGGAGAACTGCAACTAAAAAACAAAAAAGAAATTTGACGTTTTCTATAAAATATTATTTGACAGTATTTGAATTCAAAGAAAGGAAAAACATACATAGGCCAAACCAGGAGACCCATGAAAACAGGGTTCAAAGTACTTCTCGCACATTTGAAATATTAATATATCATGTAACAAGTGTAATAAACGTCATTTCAGTAACGAGTATTTTAAGCACGAGCGGAGCAGAGCGGAGCGAGTGTTTAATAAACGAGTGTCTAGAAGAGTTTATAAACGCGTTACATACTATGCTTTTTCTACGACTCCGAAAATAACATTAACATACCTGCTATTCCTGCTAACCTACAAAATAATTCTAAACGAATGGGAATTGAGAACATAATACATGCAATTGCATGCAACCAGTGAGACACGTATAAGTGATATTGGTTGTAGATGTGTCCAGTCCATCGCTTACTAACCTTTGTTTCACTAGTGGTGCCCGCGAGAGTCTCGTTTTCGAGAGTCTCGCATGGTCTCGTCTCGTTTTCGAGACAAGACTCGAGACGAGACTCGGACAAGACGAGACGAGACTTTTATTGGTCTCGTCTCGAGTCTCGTGCAAGACTTCTCGTGTCTCGTGCGAGAGTCTCGCAGGTCAATATTTCTGCGTGCCGACTGCAGACTTGAGAATTCCATTCATAATACAACATATTTAGAAAGAATTCAGACAATTCAGCACAGATTGACAAAATATTTCATTCATAAATACTCAAGAATACCGGCTACTTCAGTCCCGGAGGAAAGATTATTCTCACATAAGAAAACATCGGAATCGCCCTAATAATAAATCTGCACGATTTTGTTATGTCTTAACGACTTGGTGAAAAACAAAAACATTTACGATCGTGAAGGCTGATCTGACTGATAATAGTAGATTGTTTTATTAGGATCAAAAGTGACACTTTGTTTGACAAGCGAATCTTGCATTTGCGAGGCGGAGCGTTTAGCGAAGCCGAGAGAAAGCAAAATTTGCGAGTCCAACAAAGTCACTTTTGATCCGAATGAAACATGCTATTTTTTCTGCAACCGAAACAATTGACTCAAAATAAACATGTGAAGTAACCACCAATGCCGTGCCTAATGTATGCAATGCAACAAATATTGACAAATAATCCATGTGGTGAGAATATTCTACCTGCATTAACAGCAGGTTGGGTTTTCTAGGATGTTCGAATTGTAGTTTCAATATAAATACAACCACAGAGTGACATACTTGTGTATGGACCAGGTGCTCTTATGCCAAAAACCGCGCCAGTGCCAGCTATAGGAACAATACGTGGAAAATGTTAGGTTAGTGAGCATACCAACAATGATAATAGTGATTATTTATTCCTCTCCATACTACACTGTGTTCGACTTGATAATCAAATGAAGCTAAACAATATCGTTGTTTGAGACAAAAAACTATTGCTTGCCGTGATTACACAAAAACAAGTTATCCATCCCGAGAATAACGAATGAAATACAGATCACGCAAGTATTTGAATCTTGAAGGCTTCCCTGATCAAAACAAAAATACTTAACTGAGATGTTTATAATTTCAATACTAAACTATAATAGGGTGTATTTATATCTCCAGCATAGGTATGAAATGCCAAATCTGCTGAAATCAGAAACAAATCAGGTATGCGTCTCAACCCAAATAACCAACCGTCACAATGTTGTTTATTCTTGATGACTTCCAGTAGATCCTTTTTAGTTCCTAGGAGCTAAAGTTCAACTTTAGCTCCTAGGAACTAAAATTCAACTTTAGCTCCTAGGAACTAAATATGTTGTCTAGAAACATACCTATTTTTGTGACAGTAATAGAAACGTCAATTTAAGAGCTAATTTCGGTATCAAAATGGACGACTTTTGTGTCGGTTGCAGAAAAAGGATTTTTTTCTTAGATACCTATTTCTTGAATAAGTGAATAAGTATTGTTGGATTAAAGTTTTTCTTTGTTTATTTGTTTAGAATACGTGTTACTTCTCATTTTATTTTTATAACTTTCGAATATATAATGCTATGTTTTTTTTCTTGTCTAGATGTTATGATCTAAGTATGTACCTATTAGGTACTTACTTTTCCTACTTCTACATTATACATAAAAAGTAGGTAAAGGTAAATATCCCGTACTAGACTGGAACAATATTATGCATGACGAAATTGCGATGCTTTTGCGAGACTCTTGTGCGAGACTCTCGTACGAGACGCGAGACAAGACGAGACTGTAGGCTGCGAGATGAGACTCGAGACAAGACTTCATATTTCATCGGCGAGACGAGACGAGACTTCATGAAAGTCTCGTCTCGTTGGTCTCGTGTGAATCACTATGTTTCACGTTTATTGTCATGCTTAGCCCAGAATAAATAAATTGTTCTCAAAGATGGATGCTTCATTTTTACACTTCTTGGAGATATGCAAGTACCACAACATTCTCTTCGATTTCACTTTCTTCTACATTTCGCATATATTTACAATGAAGAATTCTGATACAAACGAATATTGTTTGAATAATTCTGATACAAAATTTGAAAATAACAGTTGACAGTTAATACAATTGACAGGCCAGACATGTCTCAAATTACTGAAGCTGTGTTCAATGAACTGTGTTGCCATGGTGATGTGATTAAAAAATCGTGTTGCCATGGTAACGTGTTTAATATTTTGAATAAATCACAGATCGTCCATCCGTGATTAATCGATCATTTAGCGTGGTACATATCCGTACGCTAAATGCCATTTTAGTTATGTGAGTAGAAAAAAAAATAATATGATAATAAATAAACGTCAAAGATGATATACAGGGTGACACAGAAGACATGTAACAGCCTGTAGTTTTTTTAGTGAAAAAGATAAAAATTCGAAATTCACAAGGGTTATGTTATCGATGATGGCGCTTCTCTTGGACCTGATGATAATTTTTTTCGACCACCTGTTTGATTGGAAGTAGACCCGATTTTTTTCCCGAATAGCACCCTGTATATTTCTGTAGTCTATCTTATCCGCCTTGAAATTCTCTATTCAATTATGTATAACAATTTTATTTTCGGTCATTAATTGGCTGTTGAATTGCATTTTATTGAAATACATGAAGTTGGCTGTGGCACGAATAAGATGACATTTCGATGCTTGATAGGCTTAGAAATGCAAAGATCATCACTCAGACGATTTTATCAGAATATTTCACATGCCGTAATCGGTTCCAGAAGATTGCCAATAATTTCATTGAGAAAATCATCCGAAAATAACTCACGATATTAGGACAATACCACAATTATTACAACAATTTCAGTTTCATATATTCAAATGGATGATCGTATGGCAAAAATTAAAGACAAATACTTTCATCACAAGTAGCCAAATGGAAAAAACTGATCTTGGTTTTCTCAATATCTTGAGTTATTTTCGGATGATTTTTTTTTAAACTCAATGAAATTATTGGCAATCTCCTGGGACCGATTAGGGTATGAAAAATATTCTGATGATATCGTCTCAGTAATGATCTTTGGATGTCTAAGCTTATCAAGCATCGAAATGTTATTGCATTCAATCCACAGCCAATTTCATGTATTTCAATAAAATGCAATTTAACAGCCAATTAATGAACGAATATCAATTGGTGATGCATAGTTGAAAAGAGAATTTTGAGGCAAATAAGATAGGCTGCAGAAATATACAGGGTGCCATTCGAAAAAACAAGTTATTGGGTCTACTTCCGACCAACCAGGTGGTTGAAGAAAATTGTCAGTGTGTTCAAGGCAAGCGTCATCATTGATAATATAACCCTTGTGAATTTTAAATTTTTATCTCTTCAAATAAAAAACTACAGGCTTTCACAAGTCTCTTGTGTCACCCCGGTATACAAGGGAAGACAAGCAGAGTACAAAGTGGAGGGAGAGATTATGGGGAGTGTATAATCTCTGAGCAGAGCAACTAGTGAGGCCATCTATGGTGGGTGTAATAGCCTCTTGGGTCTTAGCTTGTATGATCTGTATTTCAGCTTCGCTTACAGAATTCTGTAATAGGGATATAACTAGCTGCATCATTTCCTCCAAAGGTGGCAGACAGAGTTCTAAAACTTTACAGTAAAACTTATCACACAGAGTGTGTATCAGGTTGGAAGGGTTGAAAGTGACATCCTCGTTCCATTTTTTTGGGATAAATTCACTGGTAGGAACAATAAATCGATATCGTCTATTGTTTTTTGACTTATAGACACATGAGAAAATCGTGATTGTGAAGTTAGAAGAGAATTACCTTCACATTCTCAAGGCTCTTTTTTCTGTATCCAGTGGCGTCGGTTAATGTGAAAAGCAGGTGCGATTTCGAGTTATTTTCTCCGAATTCTGCATGCAACTATACAGTATTCATATGAGTGATGAATGTCAAAAAATATGATTTTTCCTAAAACTCGTGAACAAAAAAACAATAGCAATTTTCCGTCAGTGAATTTACAAGCATCCAAGTTTGCGCACCATCTACAGTTGAATACTGGGTTATTAAGGTATTATACCGTGAAAGGTATATGAAAAGAACACAACCATTTTGTTTTTATACGAAATTATTGGAAAAAAAACGCATTCCAGCTGAGGTACCTATTCGAGACGGTATAGCATCACATTTTCACAAAAAACTATCAACATTCAAACGTTCTTGACAAGTGAAATGAATCATGAATGGCATTCTCTGAAAATAGTGAAAATTGACATTATTTCTCGTAAATATGTGCTAGCATAGACTTTCTCATGTTCTTGAAGTTGAATGAATCATTTTATGTGTGAAATGTGGATTTTATGCCCCGGAGATTCACTGGTATGAATAAGGTACCCTTCTCAATATTGACCTTCATGACACAGAAAATATTTTTTTTTCAATAGGTTTTTTGTAGAATATTGATTTTATGTTCCAGTGCTGTATGAATACATTCCTATTGACTTTCAAGACAGCTAACAATACATTTTCCTAATCTATACTAATAGGTACTTATAAAAATTTGAAAGATTTGCTTGTTTCTTTGTTTGTATAGAATTGGCTCCGAAAATACTGGACCGATTTGAAAAATTCTTTCACCATTAGAAGCCGACATCATCCCTGATGAACATAGGCTCCTTTTTACCGCGGGAAAATGCTTCATTCCTATGGGAAAACGGGTAAAATTATTATCCTTCCGCACTTATCTTCCTTACATTAATTTCTAAACGGTTGAAACGATTAGGTTGAAATTTCATATGATGGTTTCCTGGATGATTTAGAAATACAAAAGATACTGAGAGAATGAAAATAGGTGTAAGTAAGTATACAGGATGTTAGTGAATAAATGCGACAAACTTTAGGGGCTGATTCCTTGTGATATTTTAGATAATAAACTTTATTTAAACATGTATCCTCTAACTTGCTTCGTACTCAAGATACAGGGTATTAATATTTCCATGAAAAATCGTTTTTTTAATCATTACTCAAATGTTTTTTCACCAATTTCAATGAAACTTGGTGATTTTGTTGAATGTAACATGGAGCTTTTTTTTGATGCGTCATTGAATTTGAAAAAATATTTTCAGTTGCGTCACAGTGAGTTAATTTATCGATATTATCGGTTAATATCATTGTATGCCACTGGTTTTTCTGGCTTCCATATTTTTATTAGATTGAACAATTGAAATATCAACTCTCTTATCCTTTGTGTTTCTTTTGTATCCCGCTTAGTATTTGAGGAAACAATAAGAATTCGATTTGACTTTTTTTATTTTAATGTATAGGTGCTCTCGAAACATTCATTGAGATTAATTACTCAATAACCTCAATTAGAATCATTTCGAATTTTTGGGACTTTTTCAGTCTCCAACCATACTGAATTTTGGGACAGCTAGTTTCCTATAGAATTCATAAAAAAAACATACTCACGTCGTTTCGTTAGGTTTGTACAAAACCGAATCGAACTCCTGCATCCAAAGGATATCGCAGTCGCACACCCAATTGTTGTGTCTCAAGTCCACCCTTTCCATATTCCTGAAAAAGTACCTGTAGGACTCGTTGAGTCTTAGCAACCCGTTCCTAGCCAAAGACAACACCTTCGGATGGTGCACCGTATTCTTCGAGGGCACATCAACAGCCAACTCGCTAAACTCCTTCAAATTCGGACAGTCCGTAATGGAAAGCTTCTCCAGAGCGTACAAGTTATAGAAAGCGTAGTGTTGGATGTAGGTTAGACTAGGCATTCTGTTCAGCTTCAACACCTTCAGCGCGTGGTAGTTGAGGTACCTGGGCGACAGGACAGTCAGATTGTTGCCAGACATATCCAGCTTTTCCACGGAGTAAGGCACCACGGGAATCACAGCCAGAGCATTGTCAGCCAGAGAAAGCGATACCAACTCCGTGAAATCGTCAAAGTAGGAGCTGGGTATCTCGGTGATGTTCAGCCCATCCAGCGAGAGATGCGTCAGGCTGGATACAACTCCAAGTTTGTGCACCAAAGCGTCTTGGGACCCCATCAAGACCCCACCCAGGCTGCTGTAGCTCAAGTCGAGGTACCTCAGCTTCACCAAAGGCAGGAACAAGCCTTCCGGCAAACTCACTATGTTGTTGTGGCTCAAGTCTAGCCGGTGCAGCTCTTTCAAACCCTGGAAAACCTTAGCACTCTCAAACGCCGGTATCAAATTGTTCCTGAGATCGAGTTCCCGCAGGTTGGGCAAGTCCTGGAAGAAATCTGGATCGATGGTGTTGATCCTGTTCAGGTTCAGGATGAGGACATGTAGATTCCTGCTTGCCAGTTTATGTGCGGCAGAGTTGAGTACTTCGATGTTGTTCATGGAGAGGTCCAGGTGATTGACGTGGCTTTCTAGATCGTCTGGAACATCTTGAAGGTTGTGGCTGGAACAGTCTGCTATGGAGACAGGTAGGTGTGTCCTGGGGTCTGTCAGTTGAGTGCAATAGCATTTGAACACGGCGTTGTCCGAACAAACTTCACAGGATATCGTTTTGAATAGAATCCACACTATTAGCACACTTATCCGTGGCTTCAACATTTTCCTAGTTATAAGGTATAAGTATACTATAATAATATGTGCGATTGATAAGGTGTGCGTTCTATTAGTAGGACTTCATTAAGGTGTATAAAGAAATGAGTATTGATAAGCATTTCTTATCAGTAGTCGGGTATTATTGCCAAATCGGAGAGAGATATGGTAATAAAAATATTGTGAATTATTGGTATTTGCTGTGATCAAATAAGATTATCTAGGATGAAGTAATGAGGACAAATTTTTGTCATTCAATATCCTATCTATTGGTAAACAATTATTTCAATTGCATTCATATTGTACAAGGTGGCTCGCAACTCACGACATATATGCTGTGAACATATTATTCCAATAAAAAATAATGCGTACTAATTGAAAATATTTTAGCTGAAAAATCCTGAGCTCAAAATATAAAGATTCAACCCAAATCATCTATAGATAAAATGTATCTCCTGTCTGATATACAGGGTATTTAATTATTATCATGATATTGAGTTTCATTTCATCCAATGATCCAAAACATCGACATAATTGATACACATCAAAATGAAAAATAATTGTGCAGCTTCATGTTTAACTTGAAATATTCCGAAAAATAATGTCTATGTAGAAAGAGTACGATATTCACGTAGAAACAGTATTGGATGATTGAAAAAATGGTGATGAAACGGCAATTCCGCCAGTGGCGTAGAATTTGGGAAGGATCAACCACTTGCCCCTGGTCAGACACGTTCATTTTACATATACTCAAGAGTGTATAGTATCTACACTTCCCGTCTAATATGACAATGATATGTCAATTAGTTTCATAAAGTACCATATAGCCACAAATAATTTTTGGTTGAATCACCCAGTATAGGTAACTCTGATTGGAGAAACTGTAACGCCCTGTAATTGTTTTGTATAGTTTACGTCCTGTATATATTTCATGATTTTGTTCCGTATGGATACCATAGGGACAGTTGTTTAACAATTCTAAAAAGATCGAGAACATAATAATATATTACATTTTGTAAAATATTAATAAAAAAGTTCTGCGAAAGACAAGACCGGCTATAATTATTATCCATATCAGACTTAGATTTAACAGACATATTTCATCTAGATGATTTGGGTTGAATCTTTTTATTTTGAGCTCAATATTTTCAATTAGGTAGTAATGAAACACCCTATATACAGGGTGTTTGGTGCATCGTGTGCCAAATTGAAATGGTCGAATGAAGGGGTCATCTGCTATCATTTAAGACTAGTTAACCCCTGTGGATTATTTTTAATCGTCTTTTTATCTGTTTATCAAAAAAAGACCTAAATTCCACATTCAAATTCAACTTTTGAAAAAAGTACAAGGCGCAGACTCTGGATTCTGATTTTATTCAGATGTGTATTGTGTGTTAGTACTTTTGAATACAAAACTAGTGACATAAGTCATCTAGTTTTTTTTTAAATTCACTCGTAAAGTTTCGAAATATGTAAAACTCAAATTAAAGCCGTGACTACATGGCTACAAAAAAAAACCAAAAGCGACCAGGATCTTCCAACTCCCTCACATGCCATAAATATCTTTTTCCTCCGATTGGCAGCAAATATTAATTTTGCTGACACATATCAATCAGCAAAGTATTACTTTTCCTGCCTAGGCAGCAAAGTGGTTACTTTGCTGATTGATATGTATCAGCAAAATTAATAATCCATAAATCGTTTATAATTTCCTTCATATTTCATCCGAGACTTCTCCGGCAACAAATTCAACTCTATATTTTTTGCCACCTCCCTTATTAATGGAGGTGTAAGTATACTTTCAGGTCGCTATCACTGTCCATTATATAATAATTTAAATATACCGATATTTTTTCGCACAACAGTCAGAAATTTCATGAATTGTCAAACCAACAACTGCGATTTCTATCAAATTTTATTTTAATTGAACAGGAAGAATAAAGAGATTGTGGGAATTGTATTAATTCGCAAATACAATATTCTCCCATATCATTATGAACAATCGAAGAAAAAATTATATGTTCAACTCGGCAGCAAAGTAGATTGACTGCCTTAGCTGGATTCCTAGCCTCGCTACGCTCGGCTATGAATTCAGCCACGGCAGTCAATCTACTACTTTGCTGCCTAGTTAAACAAATAACTATTAACAACTAAGTAAATTCGCTAGAATTGTGAATCGAGTCACATAAAGCAAATATTCAGAATTATGATTTAAAAAATTATTTTTGTTTGAATGATACCTGAATCTTTTAAATTTGTCATCTTACTCTTATGAGGTTAAATCAGTCTCGTATCTCTATTGTTTCGTGGATTATACTTGAAATAAACAAAAAATAAAATTGCATTTTCAACATTTATTTCGCATTCATTTGCGAGTAAATAAAAGAAAAACTAGATGACTTATGTCACTAGTTTTGTATTTAAAAGTACTCTAACACAATACACATCTGAATAGAATTAAAATCCATAGTCTACGCCTTATACTTTTTTCAAAATTTGAATTTGAATGTGGAATTTGGGTCTTTTTTTGAAGAACAGATAAAAGGACCATTAAAAATAATCCACAGGGCATGAAAGGTGTGAACTAGTCTTAAAGGATAGCAGATGACCACTACCTTCAACCATTTCAATTTGGCACACGATGCACCAAACACCCTGAATATAACCATTACCTTTTGACCTATTCTCTTATGACGGATAGAACAAATTTTAGAACAAAAAAATTTAGCCTATCTTCTGTGAGGAAATCAAGGTGAAAAATTGATTGGTCCTGATTTTTTGAAGTTTTTCAATCGTTTTTTCTAATTGCTCCCCTCCTAAGGTTCCTATGTATAGCCATTATTTTCTTCTTATTTCAGCCTATTTTCTGTAAAAAATTATGGCATGCTCTGATTTTTTACTTGTTAATAATAGCCTTATATTATTATAACAAGAAACCCGATATCCGCCATATGTTCAATTAAACTGATACAAAATTTATTCAGTACCTACCACTCTACCAACCACACAAAGCACAGAACGAAAATCAGATGGTATCGAATCCAGGAGGCCGTGATATAAGATGCAATCTCTCCCTTTAATGAGGGAAGAGCAATCTGAACCCTAACCAGGGCGTGAGATATCTCTATATCTGTGTCTGTGCCCGTATTTCAGGGTTACCAACCACGACAAAATAGCAACAAATGCCGCATCAACTACAGCTAGACATCTAGATCCACGATACGATTGTCAGTTGTTCTTGTTATCATGATGGGGTGTTATTTCGACAGTCTACGATCTTTTGTCGAATTGTCACCTCGTGAAGTAATGAAAGTATGGTGTTGGTAAGCTCTGAGTGCATTATAATTGTCCACAGACGATATGAATGGTATTTAAACTCGTATCTTAGCAGGCCATCGAAATGTTGACATAATTAAAGAAAATTGTGTTTGGGTTGGTAACAGCTCGTTACTTTGACAGTGTGATATGATAGATAATAATGAAATATGTGGTCTCTAGATGGTATCGTCATACAATTCTCATTGTTCTTCTTCCTATAATATATTTATTCTTATAATACAATATATGTATAATAAATGTTGTGATAGATCAAAATAATGACACATTATGGTGATCCTATATAGTTCATATTATTATGAAATTGAGGATTATTAAGCAATAGGTGATTCCTTCTTTCATATAATTTCCAAATGAGAAATTAGTGGACTATATTGCCACTAGAAATCGAGTTGATATTATAACACCATGACACCTAGTTGGTCTTCATTCAACATATCATTTTATTTCATAGAAATTGTGATGAAATTGTGAAAATCGCAAGTTTTCAGGTTTTCACAATAGATCGCAATTTTGTTCCTGGAGTTTTTGGGTTGATACACCTAATTGAATTTTCAGAATCACGAGCTAAAAGGGGAATATTTGCGATGATTTTGAATAACGAATGATTGCATCAATTTTTTTTAATGTTCTGGTTCCCACGAAAAGGGATATCATGTAATGTGTGCTTTTAAAATTTCTGGAGGTTATATGGCTCGGGGAACACCTCCCTTGGCAATGTGTTCCAGAGCCTCGCTGTTCGTTGGATGAACGAGTCTTTAGAAAGAGATGTTCTGCAGGTCTCCAAAATGACCACGAAGGGGTGCGAAGCCTCAATTCGACGGGTTAATCTCGCGCGGACTGCCAAGGGAGGAACAATGGTTGATATTTCAGAAGAGCATCGTCCATGAAAATATCGATAAAATAGAGCCAGATCGCCAACTTTTCTACGGTGTTCCAGAGAAGTGAGTGAGTTTGTGAGCGAGGCGTCACCCACGAGACGAATTGCCGTTTTTTGGACAGAATCCAACAGTTTCAGGGTATGTTTGATGGGTGTTGCACTCCAAATATGGGAACATTATTCCAGGACAGGTCGGATCTGTGCCTTATAGATCAAGCATCTGACTGGAAGTGAAATAGCTCCTGGCCCGAAACAGAAAACCAAGTTTTTGGGATGCACTTTTCGCAATTGATCTCGCGTGATTTTCCCAAGGAAGGTCATTGCTTATAGTAATACCAAGCATCGAAATGGATGTCTTCAAAGGTATGTTACTCCTGACAAGCTTATGTTGGGCACAGTGAGATCGGCTTTACTAGAGAAAAGGCATGCTTGTGTTTTGTTTGCATTGAAATCTATCAAGTTATTGGATCCCCATTTGAGAATTATTGCCAAGTCCATAATTATGTTGTCAACATTTTTTCCTCGTTCGTTTCTGATTTGCCTGGCTGGTATTGGAGCCCTGGAAGAGAAGGCGGTATGAAGGGTACTATCATCCGCGAAGCTGTGTACTGAACATGAAGTTGCTTTCAACAAATCGTTGATATGGAGTAGAAATAGTGGTGGTGCTAGAATTGATCCTTGCAGAACACCAGCATTTATGATAAGAGAGTCAGATGAAACTCCGTCGACCACTACATGGAGAGACCTGTTTGAGAGAAAACTAGCTAATAGAGATCATAGTTGGGGGGCAAGCCATAAGATGGAAGCTTGGATTGATCAATATAAAATTGGTATGTGGCGTAAATTCGACTAGTGTGCTAGTGTGGGTTCATGTGACTCTTTATAGGTATCGTTTTGTGTCTTAACGAACGTGCTATACTATATA